GAGTCCCTCTATTATATATATATATATATATATATATACAGAGAGAGAGGAGGGGGATAGGATTTCAATTTAATATTAGATATATTATTTTTAATATCAATTTAAATAAAATGTATATGCCTTCACATATTATGTTACATTGTGACAGGAAACATTGTATTGTACGGTACAACGATTACAAATATGCAGTTAATTAAAAACATTTAATAATACTATACAGATTATCCAAACTTTTTTTGGTTTTATAATTAATTATTTCATGGTGGAACTGTAGGTTCAAATGTCCTCACGTTTATTACTATTGATTTAAATATTTCAGTCATAATCGCAGACAATTTCAATCGTGTTATTTAATGTTTATAACCAAAGGTTCATAGCTTTAATTAAACAAAATACAAATAATTATCTGTTAAATTTAAACTGCTATTACAGTAGCCAGGTTCTATAATTTAATAGTCGAAACAAAATTATACATAGTAAAAATAATGTGGGTTGGTACCTAATTGAAGCCATCACTGTTAATGTATATAATACTTTATAGTTTATAGTACAAAGATAATTGAATTTAAAATTATATATAATTTTTGAAGAAAGGTGTAGTAAATGTACACTGCGTAATTGCTAAACTAACTATTTATACAGATAGCGAACATGAAAAAATAAAAAATAAACCTATGGAATTTAATTTCTAACGTTTTTTTTTTTTTTTTTAGAAAATAAATAGTATACTTCTCATTGTAAAAAATGTCATTAAAATGTATGTAAAAAAAAATTACCATTGTGTTTCATGTGCAAAGGTATTTATTTAATAAAAAATTTTCAAAAATAATTCAAATAAACTAAACAAGAATATTGTGCTTAATGAATTATTCTTTGGTTTCAAATTAATAAATATAAATTAAGGAAATATGCATTTACTAGATCAAACAGGTGTAAATATTATACGGATATACCTACCTAAATATAATATAATTCTATTACCTTGCGTTTTAAAATAATTATCAAATTAATAAATATAATTAATAATAAAATAAACAAGTTTGATAAATATATTTGTTTATAATTAAATGTAAAATGTATATTATATTATTAATTCAGAGCCTTCTTAATCTTTTCGGATCAAAAGTTGAGAAATATAAGATAAACTTTGGGACACTATAGTGTAATTCTTGTTTAAAACGGTTAAACTATTCTTGTCCAAAACTTCATAATGCCACATGCATATATTTATATATATGTAAATCACAAAATATATAACCATAAATCATACCGGCTGGATAAAAGGTCCCTAGAATTGATAATATTATTATTATTTCAATATAAAACCGTTATCATGATATAAAACAGTTGATCTCTAATGTAAAACTGAATTGAAATAATTAATTACCGTCACATTTCGACGAGTTTTTAATTGTTTTAATTGCCTCGATATATTATTCGGTGCGCACCAACGCTATGTTGTTTTCGCTGACAGTCACGTCTAGTCAACGAATAAAAGCCTAAAGTTGGCAACTACACATAATCACAAAATTTTTGACACAAACATTTCTTCTAAACGAATGTCAGTCAAATTAATTTTCCTATTAACAATAATACCGATTTCCCGATGATTCGACAATATTTCGAATGGCAAAAAGACATTTTGTCAGACCCCTTTCCACCGCCGAAGAGAGGGTATTACAAAATATATGCTATCCGTCAAGATCGAAGGAACTGCAAGCGGAATAAATCCTATTATTTGTAGACCGATATAAGTAATCCGACATGGCAGCCCAGGATCACTCATTGTCTTCTCAATCTTCCACCCTTTAATGACGTATCGTATATTCTTTTATTTTTTTTATTTATCCATATCCGCATATAGGGTACCTACGGGCACACCGACTACGTCAACTCTCTAAAATCTGTCCGTATCGCAATGTAACCACCGGACACCGGGTACTAGGTTAGGGTCGAATCCGGTCAATAGCAATATAAATATACCATATATATATAATATGCATATTATATATTTTATATAGTGTCTCTCCTCCGTATATCCATCAACGTATACATGGGTTCCCTGCCTGCCATGTTCCAAAAGCCGAAATCAATAATCCGAGTAAACTGATATGGTTTGTTGTGTAGACTGTATAAAGGTACAAGAAAATTGTAAGACATTCTATCAGAAACTAAACTCACTAAGCCATGTCAATTATGAATGATAATACGTTTATCATTTCATTAAATTACAATTTAATAATAAATTATGCAATCAAACAAATATTGAAGATTATAAGTAGGTACTATATATTACAGGATCACTATAATGACAACAGAAAATAAGTAAATAAACGTTACTAACAATTAAATATTTTAAGAAATTTAAAATTTGACAAAGCATTTATTATTCGATATCTTTTAATAGAGATATCAGCAACTTATGAGGAACATTGTATTACATCGTCAAGCTTTTTACTCAAAAACAAAACATAAATTAAAAAAATCATAAGAACTAAAAAAGAGCAAAATAATTTGAAAATTATGTCATGTCTGCTAAATAATAATATAAATATTTGGTAAAAATATCAAGTCTCTATAATTATTTTTTTTTTTGTTTTTTGAAAATTGAAACATTTTTCCACCTCCAAAATTGTGTAACAAAAAAAAACCATCGTAAAACCAATTAATTTGTTACTCCACTTAGAACCTAAGACATATTATTAGAATAAATAATAACACAACATGAAAAAGTATAGTACTTACTCATTTAATAATTGATAAACCTAACAATATATTATTATTATGAAAGATTCAATAGATTAACAAATAAAAAAAATAAGAAGAATATGAAAAATTCTAAAAAAAGTTGATACACTTGTGGGCGAATGAAAAATGTGTGGTATGATAATATTAAATACCTAGCCAAATAAATTACTACTTATAAAAAATAAATTCATGTGAAAATACATGTTAAATGATAAATTACATTAACTTGATATTATGAATGATGTGAAAAAAAAGATAGGTATTTAAAAGTTTAAAATACAAAAAAAATGTAATTTAATAGTATGAAGTTGTTAAAAAAACTGATGGTTACAATATATAATTAAAAAACAATGGAAGTTATACAAATGTGAGTTTACAAAAAATAAATATATAATATAAGTATGAACAACTTAGTCCAAAACCAGAAAAAACATATTATCAATTTTATAATGCTAAAATTATAAGCATTTAAAAATATACATGTATGTCACAAACAAATCAAATGATAAATAAATGTATCGATTTATGAGTGAAAGCGTGAAAAACTTGTAAATAATACATATACAGAAATACAATAATAATAACAATAATTTATTCAAATGAAATCATAAACGAATAAAACGGGCCCAAATATTGCCCAATAGTTACAGGTAATTAGAGTATGTTATAATAAAAGCAACTTGAAATTTTAATGAAAAAAATATTAGTACAAATAAATAAATAAAACAAATATACACAAAATCATATTGTGGGGAGGACTCGTTCTTATGAACTCGCACTTGCAAATTGTGCGCATTTCCGACGATTGAATCTGCGTAGGGACAAATCCCAATATTCCTTATTACGCTTGCGTTAGGACTTTTTATCTGAACTCCTTATCAGCTTAAAATGTTTACATCGGTATTACATCTAATACCAGTATTGATAATAATGATATTATAAATTGCTTAAATATGGAGTATGCTTTTAAATATTATTTTTTTACAGTATTTACAATAATCAAAAAACATAATTTCAATATTTATAAATTATAGATAATAATTGGCAGAATTAAGAGTTTCCGATACTAGTTTTAAGAATTAGCAGGATGTTGTATTGCTGCAACCATTCATCCGGAACTACAGTTAATAATTCTCTTTAATCACATCAATTTCGTTGAAAACTGGTTTCACATTAAAAAAAATTTTAGTTCATCATCGATTTTTGTTCGGGTTATTTTTAAAAAAATACTAGACATTTTATACTTTCCCCGCAATATATGAACTAAATATAATTTTTTTCCAAAATGTAATAAGTTTATCCTCAATTTTAATAACTCAAAATGGTGATAACATAAAACAAAATAAATAATAAACACACATCATTGTATGACCAGTACGTTAATCGCTCCTCAGAATCTACAACTGTGAGTAAAATTATTAAACACCATAATTTTTTGACCAATAAAACATAATTATTGAAACAGTACATGAATAGAATTAAAAACTGTTAAATTTAAAGTATTTAAAGTAAACTTAATAATTACAAATTGTATACATTTTCATGTAATGTTTGATATTTTTGAAATAGAATTATAATTTTTTTTTCAACCTTTAGTAAATGGAAAAATGAATAGATACAATATTTACCATAAAAAGTTTTTTTTTCATAAAATGAAATTAAATAATAAACTATTCCATCCACTCTACGCAAATTGAATTAAATTTAATCTAAGCTATCATGTTTCCTTTTTTAATTTGTAATTTGCATAAAGCCTCTTATTTTATCTTACATTTTTAATAACTTTGCTCTGGTCTGGTTAAGTTATAAACGAATTAAAGTAATATACAATAATTATTAAAATTGTGTATTTTAGTAATTAAGTGTATCGTGGAATTGTATAACTACAGTGGAGATTAACTGTAAATAACCAAATTTGTTTTAATTAGAGGAAAAATTAACAATATCAGTTATTCAATGTAAAACAAAAACAAGGACCTTATACATGAACTAACAATTACAAAATACTGTTTAAATGAAATAAATAACAAAAATGTTAATTTTTATTTATTCTGAAAATGTTATGTCGCAAAAGAAAAAAAAATTAATAATGTTAACTCGTAATAAATCAACTAATATACTATGCTCTTTTGTATTTTTATTTTGCATAAAATGCCAGGGCGCCAGGCTTTTTGGAAAATGCATTACTTATTTAATTTATGTGTACAACAAGTTCAAGGAAAACATACTTATATTCCTTTATTTTATTACAGACAATTACTAGCACCGAATTTAGCACAGAAACATTTTTTACCTCATGGAGCTGAACAGGTTTCCAAACAAGTACGTATAAACTGTTAGTTTTATTTATAAATTGCACTCCATGAATCTTAATTAAAATGAAATGTACTCATTTCGTCGTAAAATGTTTTAAAGGCTGATTAAAATTATTTTCGACATAATTTAATTATGTTTGATGCTAAGGAGCGGCTTTTAAATAAGAGGAATGACGTAAACGAGATACGGATGGTGAAAAAATATCTTATATTTTCAATGAAAAATAATTGCTTTCAATTATTTCTCGAAAATGGAACAAAATTAAAAATTAAAAAATAATCTAATTTTAAACATATCATAAATCAAATTCTCGCCTTTTTACAAGAGCTGTTAAATTCTTTTTTAATCAGTCATTTTTAATATTATTTGTTAGAAACTTCAAACGTGAACTCCGTGATTTACTTTAAATTCAACAAAAAAAAGTTATTTTACTATCTTACAATTATTTTGAAGTTCATAAGTTCTTAAAAACAAAAATACTACATCAAAAACAAATGTATTTGAATTATCTTAAAAATAAAATGAAAATGTTGATTTTTTAATGTATGTGTGCGTTTTTGTTTAAGGAAATTGAACATTGTTACTATCACGGGACTGTTAAGGATATTCCTGGTGCCACAGCTGCGTTTCATACATGCAATGGAGTAGCTGGAGTCATACACATTGGCAACGAAACGTTTATTATTCATCCATTTTACGGTGGAGACTTGTCGGTCAGTATAAAGAAAGTTATGAAAGTTAGGTTAACTATTTGACCTGTCTATAAACAATAATAGGTATAATAATATGGTAGTATGATAATTGAAAAGGATATTTATCTATGGTATTGATAAAAATATGTTTTTATGCATAAAAAATTATTTTAAAAATATTGAAACAATATTTGATCTACACAAAATCTTTTATACTATACCATACACTTTTATTTGTTGATTAACAATAGGAATAAAAAATAAAATAAAACGACATAATTATTGCCATAATGATATTAAAATCTGAAATTTCATTTGTCACACGGGGTGTTGGATAGGCAATTTTTCAACAGTTATGCGTTTATGCACCATATTATTTTCGAGCCATCCAAAATATATCAAATTTAAAGCAATTTTTTGATATTAGAATTATAGTTCTATCATATTGTAATAATATCATAATAATATTAAAATGTCCTAATAAAATCATTAATATTATCAAATGTGAAATGTGTATTATGATAATTATTAATAAATGATAATATACCATATTATTATTGCCGGGTCGCATAAAAAATTGATTAAATTTTCGATTCTCTAAAAATTGATGGACCAATCATGTTTAAAGAACCATTAGTTGATAGCTAGCTCACTATTGATCATTAAATGTTTAGTGATTGTTTGTGCAACCCCAGCATAAATGCATAACCATTATATGCGATATATTATTTATATCACAATTGAACGAGAGACTCTCTCAACTAACTATCCACGTTAGTGTGAAATAGATACAGCACTTCATAAGAAAAATGAACGTGCCAGGTGATAACTGTAAATTCCAGAATCATGAAATGTTTTGCTTTTAGAAAGTGGCCTCGGTATTACTATCTTTTTTTCCCGGAGGAAATCTGTAGACCATTGTACTCGTAGAATACCCAATGTCATTAATCATGGCTACTGACAGTCCCCGTGGGAAGAAAACATTCCAGAGTCGACATGTATATAATATATATATATTTTTTTTTTTGCGGCACATGTATGTTAAATAAATGAATAAATAGATAGTGCCAACAGACTGCAAAGTTTTCAGTCTGCTACAGTAATACGTAAATTAGAACAACCACCTGATCTAAATAATCTCTATGTTTTGTTGTAATAAGTTTAATGCCTCAAAATAGTTTAATTTATGGTTTGTTAAATAAATATTTAATATTATTTTTTCATACTTGGTAGGTATAATTAAATTTATAATGCAGATTAGTCTGAATTTTCAGAAGGTCTGCTGTTGTTGAGTGATGAACTTAACTATCCATTTGTTTAGTTTTCAAAAATTAATAAATTAATAATAATTTTGAACGTCTAAAAATAATTAAATCCAGAGTACTTTGGACTCTTCTTCAGACTATTTATGTCAATGTTTATGGAAAATTTAACCGACGTTTGTTCATTAACGGTGTTAAATATAATTTTCTCATAATATTATAATAATTTCAACTTCTCACTGGCAGTTTTGTGTAGAAATAATATTATAGATGATTCAACGTTTTTTTAAATAACAATATGGTTTATGCATTTTCACGAAACAATTTTTATGATTCAAATTATTAGCTACTTTTTTTGCTAAAATGATAGAAGATAAATAAAATACATAGGTAGTTCATAAACAATAATCCAACACACTATAAACACAAAAATCGAAATGGGCCCCCCGGAGATCGTTTGAAATTCACTTCATATGGACACAACGGCGACAGACGCTGCAAAAAAAGTTTTTGACAGTTCCAATTTTAGCGCTACAAACGTGGCAAGGAGAAAACAGAAACCTCAAAATAAAATCACTCTGGCGTAACCTAAAAGCCAATATATGAACTCCATTCTTTTCTGAATACACCCCCGTCAAAGCGTGCGAGTTAGTCAAAAACACGAAGTGCGTTCTACGAATTCCGGGAAAAAAGGAGCAGAGTAAGAAAAAAAAAAGAAACGTTCTCGTTAGGTCGAATTTTTCAGGCTTTCAAAAACTACTTGTGTACGCAGCATTTCGAGAAACAAAATCATTATGATTTTTATACAAGCCAATATAAAGTGAATATATTAATAACTTTTACGTTATTTTTTTTACCAGAAACATCCTCATGTGATATTTGAGGCACGTGACAAGGCTAAACGCGGATGTGCCAACGACTTGCGGTCGGATAGGAAAAACAAATACACCAACGGTTTTGCCAGTGGACGGTTCCGAAAAAAGCGACGACTAAAACGGGACGTCAGAGAAGTGACCAAGTACATAGAGACCGCTCTCGTGTTGGACAAGGCTATGGTAAATTATATTGTGATTATGTTGTAATAACCATCATCGGTTAAAAAATGTAAGTTTTTGACGCCATTATAATATTGTTCAGTTCGAAATGAGAAATGGCAGCTCCAGATCTGAAGTAATCACCGATGCCATTCAAATCGCAAACATAGCTGATTTAGTGAGTACCTATAATCTATGAACTACCTGTCATAAGTATAGGAGTGTTATGATTTATAGATAGTGTTATTCGTTTGCGTATAGATTTGTTTATAATAATGTTATTCGTGTAACATATACGCGTATGGTTATCATAATATTTCTGAAAGTTTTCATACCTAGTTGAAAATTAATAATTGTCAATTAGATCGTTTGTATGCATTCAAGCGGGGGGAGGGAAGGGATTATGTATGTTTTTTATTTTTCCTTTAGAAAATGGTATCGATATCTAACGACTGCTTGTTTATTTTTTCTATCTACACAGTATTTCCGAACCATTAACACCAGAGTGTCGGTAGTCTATATTGAAACGTGGCAAGGGGCCAACCAGGCACTAATTGATAAAAACAAAGAAATTAGCACTGCATTGCTCAATTTTAACGAATACTCGTCACATGCACTATTCAACATCGGCAAAGACACTGCTCAACTACTAACGTGAGTACATCATAATAATATTGTCTTTATTTTTAACACAGAAATGGCGAAATTACATTACATTTATTCGTCGGGATTCGTTATGCAAATAATGAAATAACAATATAACATTAGGTACTTGGTAAATATTTACACACCGTATTGCTCAGTTCAAACTGTGTTCAAAAAGAGAAATAAATACATCATACGCATGAAAAACATTCACAAATTATTTTTTTATTCTCCCGTTTGTTTTATTTCGGTTATGATTTTTTTTATTATTATTATTATGGTTATTTGACTAAACATGAAGTATGAACATAATACAAAAATCAATTTTTTGTTGTTGTCTTCTACCACCCATGGATTAGGGCTTAGGCAATCTCTGCCATCAAAACCTAAGCCTTCTTCAATTTGCTTTTATATCTGTTCACACTTTCTATAAAACTTCTCTGAATTCTCTTTCGATTTTCCCTACCCGTTCCCATCAATCAAAACTGGCGGCGTCCACCGTTGCCACCCTTCCACACACCACTTGAATATTCTCTCCCGCGATGACACTCATCCATCACTAAATGAAACGTACTATTATCACTGCAAACGTGTCCTTCATAGAATTCGTACTTCACATTTGCAATTTTTTTCCCTTCATATATCATCTTCATAAAAATATGCAAAACACTTCATATCCATATATTTCATTCTAAGGATGTCCTCCAAACATGTCGAACAAATCTTATTCATATATAGCTGAACACTGATTAAAAATGTACAGACATAACACAATGAACAATGATAATTAATATACCTACTATTTGTTTTAATTTTAATTTATTATATATTTTACTTAATTGAAGTAGGTACTAATAGTTTTGATCAAACTACACAATATAATACCTGAATTAAAATTGTATGATTTTGGTTATAGCATAATTATGCATTTTTTCTGAATCTTTACAACAAGTAAAATATAATATACAACTATATATAGCAAAAATTTTAGACAATTTTTGCTATTAGTGCAACGGCAACACTGTCACATTAAGTGTAGTTCGCATTTTCATTATGATAAAATTAAGTACAAAAACTACAGAAACGCGTTACCGTTACCGAAATTACAAAGTACTTATGTAGTATGTAGTTAGTAGCAAAATAAACGATCTGTTACATAGCTAGTGTAAAATACATGAGACACTTTGAAAGTTTTGACCACTTACATACAGAGTAAGGTGGCTGATTTACACTACACATGCTATTTTCTAACACGGTATAACAGTTTTAACAATCACCAAAATCATTTAACAAAGTTATAAAACTTTTTTCTACTGCTGCAATACGAAAATAATTTATTTGTTTGAAATGTATAGACTATTTTATGCGTTATCTGTGCAGTGTAACCTATTGTTAAAATAATAGACTTAAATTGACGCCATATATTTCTTCATTAAACATTAACAGCAGTAAACGGTTACTTTCAGATTGCTTGTAAACTAATTGAAACGATTTTACGTTTCGCTTAACCTCTATATAAGATACGGCTATTAATAAACACGTTACTGATTTAAAGTCTATACCTATACACACGCACATAGTATCGATGCCACGTGAAATCGTTTGGGATTTTATAATGGCTACGGCATTAATTTTTTTTGAAAAAACAAACTAACACATCGTTTCCTTACATCTTCCCTGAATCCTCAAAATATAAATAATATCGTGTGTGCTGTTGATTCGATTTGGTTTGGTATTCAGTCACGCGTGTCTTGACGGATATCAATTATCGCGTTTCGTTCTGACACCGTTAGCTTCTATAATATAAAATATTATTATTGAGTGTAAGCTTTTATCGTTTGTGTGCCGAAATCATCCTTTTTACTTATTTTCAGTGGAGAATATTTTGTGGGCGGCGAGACGGGGATGGCCATCCACGGGACCGTGTGCACCGCAAAGTCGGTGGGCATCAGCGTGGATGTGAACGCCTACGAACCGCACATCATAGCGGGTTCGATGGCACACATGATCGGACACAACGTGGGAATGGGCCACGATGACAAGAGTAAGTAATACGTACAACGTGTACCTACTTATTTACTTGCTTACGATGTGCTTAGAAGTTAAAACACATATCCGAGCCTGGCGAGATAAATCCCCTCGCGGAATCGTCCGGGAGGCCTGTATATAATAGCAGCAGTGGCCTCAAGTGGGTTTATAGGATTTCTGAAACGACCTCGTCCTATGATTTTGGGCCAACCGTGTAATAATACTAATAAGTACGATGATTACGCTTAACGAGCACACGATACTTAACGGCGGTGGTGGTAAGGTCAGAAAACTACCTTATATATATACATAGTACGCACTAGTCACTATATACTCCGATGACTGTGGAGTTCAAGGTTTTTAATTAATTATATAAAAAGAAAAAAGTCTCTGAAATTAAATCACAGCCTCGGGGCGAGATCACCGCAGTGGTAATTAAAAACTACTAATGTTAGATAGCTGTTCGTAATGATGGTGATGTTTATATCACTACATTTATGTATCTGTACTGTTACTTTATTAAATTTGCTTGTATACCTAACTGAAATCCACCCACAGACTGCGCTTAATTCTCGTTAAGAATCTGATTAAATAATAATATTAATACACGTTTAGCTACAGAAAATGTCGAGATCAAATTGATATAAACGTAATAAATATGTGGGTTTAGTCTTAAGACTATGAAATAAAAACGACTTCAGTGGTGATGAACTTTTTATGTACTTTATATAAACATAATCGAGCAACAATAATAATTACACCTCAGGGTACCTTGTACACAATATGTATTCACAGCTGACCATTCCCATCTCTCAGTCCAAGTGTGATTTTAAGAAACCAACAGCGCATCAAGTTAGGCATCTACTTTAAAAATTACATTTACGTGTACTCATTTATGAAATACTGTGTTTATCATATAAATTATAAAGTAGTTATAAAGTATGTATTATATTTAACAAGTATGATAACGAAATGTATTTAACTCCAATTAATTTTTAATCGATATTTCAAAAAAATTACAAGTGGGCTTGGACGTTTAAAATGTTTACAATAAAAGTAATCAGCCTTTTTTTCAGTCCTCTTTTTTTTGACTCTTGAGACATATCCAAGTGATAAATAGCCTACGTTTTTTTTTTTAATTTCTTTATAATTAACTACGTAAACACTCAGTGAAAAACCTTACAAAGGGAGTTGATGACATAACCACTTTTTTCGCTTTCTTTTATAACACCATTGAAGGTTGATACATGCTCATGATATATTTTATACTATACATGTTTACTATAATATCTACATAAATAATCATTAACTATGTTTGAAGTCGTGAAAAATTAAAACACATGTAACTATAAAATATTATTTCATTTAATATAATACAAAAATGTTGTGTGACATAACCTCATCACTTATGCATATTAATAATAATACCAATATAAATGTTAAAAAACATTACGAAATTTGATTCAGTCATAGTGCAGTAATAAATTATTAATAAATTGCAATTATCATTTCCCAATACAAATGTCCATTGTCTAATACCAATAGTGTCTATTGTCACATGTCTATCGTTTTAGGTCCAATAGACTCTGAGATCAAAGGTATAGATGAATTAAATTCACTTCAAACTTTGTACTCGATATTAAAACAATTCCAAATTGCAAAAGGCCTGATCCAATTAAAATTGTATAAAATGTACTCTTTTTCAGGAGAAGAATGTTACTGCCGAGATTGGCATGGTTGTATCATGCAACAATCTATCGTAGGCATGGAAAATATTCAGCCATACAAGTTTAGCGATTGCAGCCTCAACGATTACATAGACGAATTTCGGGAAACTCGAAATATGTGTTTGCTCAATAAACCGAATGAGGTAAGATTGACACTCAAGTTATACATCGGATATGTCAAAATAAAACCTTTAAGGTTCTGTATAGTGGCAGATTTGGAGATGAAACGTTTCGTTTTATATGATATTTAAACGGGTCACTTGGTCATAGCCCATAATAGGTATAGCATATTATATAGTATAATATTCCCTTTGTCGTAGGTCACTAATTTACAACAAAAATGCGGTAACAACATAGTGGAAGACAACGAAGAATGCGATTGTGGCGGGTTCGACAACTGCCAAAAGATTGATCCGTGTTGTGATCCGATCACGTGCAAACTGATAAAAGAAGCCGAATGCTCGGCGTCCGGGACTTGCTGTAAAGATTGCAAGGTAAATTATTATTGTCTGCAATAGAATTATGTAATAAAGACATAAGCTTGAACGTGAACTATCTCGATTGAGTTTGGAAATAAAAACGTTCAAAATATTTTACGTCGTCGAATTTATTAATATGTAGTTACATCATAAACATTATACACGGTATGATTCCGTGGATTTCGTTTACGGAAGTTAAGTATGACAATAAATTCCCACTCGTTCCGGTCTCGACAATCTTACATGCCCTATATTACGGTCGTCAATTTTACCACTACTATAGTACCAACCACTCGGTGGCGTAATCGTGATTAAAGGGCAAGGTATCATTTTCTCCCCCCCCCCCTTGATATGGCAACAGTAGAAATCTTTAAATCTTCTAATATAAGAAATGACGTAATACAAGTCAACATAGATTTATAAGATAAAAATATTTTATTTCTCATACGTTATATTTATTACATACTTTTCCTGTTGTATAATAATACGTCGAAGTATTGTCAACGTCTTCACAACCCCTATATTACATAAATGATCTTATAATATATATTCATGAATTATAATTAGATATAAGGGATTATTATCAAATAATTTTTTTTTTTAACAAATAATGGCACCTTTTAGATGACCTCGGTGCACTTATTTCAAGTTATTTAATGATATAGTATCAATACGATATTCTGTTTCTAAGCAAAGAGTTTTAATACTGTGTCAAAAAACAAACAATATTAAGTATTTTCCAGGTTTCGATTTTGGAGAAAACATAATTAATTTTTCCCTAGTTTTCTCCCGGTTACGTCACTGGTACAACTATACTACCATAGAATATATTGAAGTTGTATGGAAATATAATGCTCTAAACAAAAATTGACTTATGTGCGCCTGTTGACAGTTTTTGGCGGAGGGTACACCGTGCAGGGTGGCCAACAACGAATGTGACTTACCGGAACACTGCACTGGTGACAATGGCCAATGTCCCGCGGACATGTACAAAAAGAATGCCAGCCCGTGTGGCACGGAAAACGGCTTCTGTTACATGGGCGAATGTCCCACGCTCAACGACCAATGTGAACAGATTTGGGGTTATGGTGAGTATAAAATGACATTATTGTTTCTTGTCTAGTAGTATAAGGCTTAAATGCAATATAATTAAAACATAAAATACTCGAACACGTAGTATCCGGGGCCATACGTGACTTCGATTTTGTGGGGAGAATAGGGGATGCTCGGCCATTGGAAAAATTGCCAAGTAAACATTTAAATAAACTTGAAATCATGATATTCGGTGACAGAGATTTGTGACAGTAGTTATTAAACTATCATAACATGTATGCTATAGAATACATAATTTTTGTTCATATAATTTTTTATTTCAATTTAAAATTTACCATTTATTTTACCATCCCACAACATAAATAAACTTCTATTATAATAGTGGACATTACTAGTATTGAAATAAAAAGTTCTAGACCAAGAGTTGAATTTCGTAGCCTTCAAGTTAATCGAAAAATAAAATGTATAAGTTACACTATTAATCATGATAATTAATAAAAGGTCGTATTACTTTCATGATAAATATTGTGATTTGTAACTGTATTTGATTAATTTTCTAACAAATATGCTGGGGCATCATTTACTTTGTTTAAACATACAAAGCCCATAATTTTATACAATTTAGTCCGATATGATAACATTTTATTTTATGTATAAAAAATGCTAAAGTATTAATTTAACACTTTACAATGTTATCTCTTATCATAAAAAATCGATTAATGAACTTAATGAAGCAGAACGGATTAACTAAATTAACCAACAGTTCATTAACTAAAAGGAAAAGTATTTAACTAAAGTGATTTTTTTTTGTCTAGTCTGAAATTACATGACCAACCAAAACTAAAATCATTATTTCGGTTCAAAGTGAGATTAGATTAGAGTTTGATGTTTTTGATGAATTTAGAATGAAATAATAATTTTATTACAACGTAGAGTATGAATATTATTACTGATTTAAAATACTCTCTGCTATACATTTTAAATTTATCCATTCTACATTTAAATTAAGAAACTTTACGAATTAACCAATTTCATCCAATTTAATATCAAAACCGAATTGTTTTAGTACATTTTTAATACAACTCGTATAAAATAATTTTTTTTTTACTCATAACAAAATAAATATCAATGTATTTTCAAAAATCTAAGAATCACATTGTTTTAGGTAAATTAATGGATAGATGGTTATATTTATAAATTATAACCATGTATGTATAATTCATAATTCTTCTCTTGTACCTTTGAATATTTTAAAATTTAAATCCAAAAATCATATGAATATAAACTATGTTTTGTATTAATTACTATAAAACATTTTATCAATTATTATAATATTATTATATATATTATATGAATATGATAAATAAAACTTTAATAATATGTATTATACAATATTTCAGTTTTATACTGAAAGTGAACAAAACTACTTTGAATTTTCGAGTTCGTTTTGTTTCTTTGAGGTGTTGTTCTGCCTTCTATATAGTAACCCATTTTAAATAGTTTTTTGGTGCAGTAAAAACATTTTCATCTAAGTAAACTAAAAAATTCATAATAGTGCATTAAATTCCAATCCCTTATCCTCTAGAGTTTTCCAAAAATGTATGCATATTTTAAAACCAAATTACTTTTATTATTTCATATTCTATAACATTGTACGATACGCAATAAATATAATATATATTCTCTCTAAACATTTTCACCGGGACCAAGGCCCTTCGTCTATTGTTCCGTATAAACCGATTAAATCGATCGGAGAAAATCAATACGATTTTTTAACAATAATTACAACGTAATAATAATACCGGTCGTGTACTCGTAAAATATTTAAGCCCATCAACAATATTTGTATTCAACGGTGGTGCTTCGTACAAAGAATTTAATGATTGCAATAGCTATGTGTTTGCATGACAGCCCAACAGAAACGAGCTATACATTTATTATTATGATTATTATTATTATTATTATTATTATTATTATTATTATTATTATTACTATCAAACAATACCCGTGTTTGCGGTTTAGGCGGGGTGTCATCAGACAGGCAGTGCTACGACGAATTCAACACCAAGGGATCGATGAGTGGACATTGCGGTATGGTCGAAGAGGCTGGTACTACCACGTACTTAAAATGCGATCAAAAGTTAGTTTTTTGCACATTATAATATTATAATTACAGTATATTATAATATTATATCACCGTGTGTTCAAAAATTATTACAAATATTATTTCACTCCAAATGTTTTTTATTTTTTTTTTCTCTTATAGAAACGTGTATTGCGGATCGTTGCAATGTCAAAAAGGTACTAAATATCCTCAAAATGCGTCTGCGCCGAGGCACACCAAAACAGTAATCTCCATAGATGCCAAGGATTATGAGTGCAAGTAAGTGGTATTATTATTGTTGCGGAATAACTGCAGCATAACATCATACATGACATAGTAAACGCTAATTCGACAAGTCGTGTTTACTTAACAGTTAACACCGACAAACAGCTTAAAGGACGATGAAAGTAAAAAGCAATCTTGCACAACATTTAAACCTTTTCTGCCATTCGGTTTTCTTCGAGTTCTCCGTCCCAAAATCCGAATTTAATCAAAAGTACTTACGAGTCACTTCACATGGCAGTCTGACAACAAAACTATGACTTTATTAGAGGCGATTAAAAGCAAAACATTTTTTACATTTGACAAATATTTCCGAGTTCGTGCTTAAGATATATATAATTGTCCTTATATAATTTACCTCGTTTCTGAGTTTATGTGTTTCTTTTTAAAATTGTTGTCTAATGTCAGAGGTTATAGTAACACAGGTCCCAAGTGTACTACATACAAACTATTCAAAATATAGTAGTGATATAAGTTGTAACTTATAGTAGGTTAGTCGTTAGTAATAGTAGTTACTTTAAGAGTTTATAAAGTTTATAATTTATGCAATGGTAATTAAAACTTTATTAAAAGCTAAAAACTCACATACATTACAATCCAAGAAAAATAATTCAAACATAAAAGTAAGAAAAAGGGAATAACCGAACCTAAAATAAATAAAATTTGTTTCGGCAACGAAAAAAATATAATAAAATACAATTTTTAAACGAGTTTTATCAACTATTACGTATAGTGTTTATGTTTGTAAAATAGTTTACTAAGGTTTTTAAGAAAAACATTTTGCAAAATATGTTTACTTATATTGCATAATCAAAAACCGCTTAAAACGAAACCTACTTAACATTCTATGTAAAGGTATACCGTGTACATACGAATAAAATAAAATCATTAATTAACTGACAACCGTATTGTGCGTAAGCAGCGTAACCTTTAATTGTTTTTCTTATTTAGTACAATTTAATAATATACCATAAACATTTTTATTTTTATACATTTTAACTCTTGAGTTAATAGGGTTGTAAAGCATATACGACACATAAGTTATAAGCTGGAGAAAATTATCTGTTATTTACAAATTTAAACTAATTAACGATAAAAAAACAAATTAAATTCTTTCTCAATATTCTAATACGACTTATTATAATATCTGGTTGTAAAGGTATATACCGATATAACTCCAAGAGATAGTGTGCACAAATTATTAACAAATCGAATGATAGCATAAACTAGTATTCATAATAATAATAATAATAATAAATAATAATGTTTGATGTAAAACCTAATGTGTTCATTTAGGTCGACGAGTGGTTCCAAAATGTTTAGCTTAGTTCAGGACGGAACTCCGTGCGGTGATAATCTAGTAAGCAAACACATCTAATCAATACTTACCTGCCAATCATATTGCAAAAGGATATTTCAATTGTTGTCTTTTTTTTCCTCAGATTTGTATCAATCAAACATGCACGAGTATGAATCCGTACATCGATACACACAATAAATGTCCCAGTAATCATAATAATTTAGAGTGCTCTGCACACGGGGTAAGTGGACTTGACTTACTAAACTTACGTTTCCTGGGACGGTGTACACGATAATATAATGTTAACAATGCTCACTGTTTTCCACAGATTTGCTCAAATTTAAACCAGTGTTTCTGTGATATTGGCTGGTCAGGAAATGACTGTTCTATCCAGGTAGAAATCTCGCCTACTGCCCCAAACTCCGCGGACGTGACACTGTCGCCGGAGGATGCAAAAAAAGCTAAATCCGATCTGGAAAGCAAAATGATCATGAAAGAAACTCCATATGGTAAGATACAACAAACTAATAATTAAAACGTTACCACACATTAATCCGAGTATAGCCAGTTCACATGTCGCAAAATATTATTAAAGTAGGTACCTACCTAATGGATTACAATTACACGATAAACTAAGTGGAAAATAATAACCACAGCGATCATACAGTACTTACCTATAGTTACCAAATATCGCGATCATAAGTTTAATAGGTATTGTACTTATTTTTTCATTATATTCCAATGTTCGAAATTTTCATTCTATATTTTATTTTGTTTTCTACAACGTTATTACTTGATACTTACCTGCCATATTTTTCCTGCGAAAATACACTCGCGGTACTGTGTCTTATAACACAATACAAATTCAATATCATGTCAGTTAAAATCTGTGTTCTGTAACTTGTAACAGTAAAACATTGATTCTGATTCACAGTGACAACTACTATGTAGACTCCACCGGTGTAATATTTTGTTCTGAGTAAATACTTAGGTACCTGTATACGATATATTTATGAATTTAAATAACACAGGTTCTACTAGGTATACGGTTGGGATTTGTAAGATATAACAATCATTGATATCCGTCAATGTAATCATTTTACAACATTTCTGAGACGCAATAGCGTAATTATTCGATACAGAAGAAAAACTATTTCGAAATAATGATATATGTTCAGTGTTTATAAAATGTGTACAATATAGTAATTGGTTCTCCTACAAACTGCGGAATTAATCCCATTTTATACGCCAACACGGTGAGTTAAAATCAATCGTAGTGCTGAGTTTGTCTTAAACAAGGTATATAAATATAGGTACTTGGAAAAAAAGGAAAGGGAAGCTTTTTGCGTGTATCCGATCACACTCCGTAATAGCACTGGCGCTTCAGAAATGTCAAGTTTTGTTAATCGCCAACTCGTAAAGATTTTGTTCTCGAACGTTTGGGAATTTGTCGTCCGATAAGATCTCTATAGATGATAATAATAATATAGTTTACACTCTTTATATTATTTTACTCTTACATTATATAATATACGTAAGTATATATATATAACTAAATAAATCGGATTATTAAATTCCTCATCCCGTTTATTACTAAATTACTATTCGTCGTATATACGCTATAGTTAATTTAGGTTAAAGTGTATAACTGAATCAACCGTGACTCGCGGGCCGTTAAATTGTTTATTGTTTATTGCATTTTATTAAACCAATATAAAGATAAGACTGCAAAGTGCCTACTACCCATTCGGTACCATATCTTTTATCAGTGTTCCTAAACAAATTGATAATCCAATTATTGACTTTGAATATGATTTCGACAGGACAGTATCGGACAGAATCATAATAATATACTGTTTAGTGGTTCGTTCTTATAGTAGACAATCACATTACCTCGAAAATTATTAATGTTAATTAAAATATTTTTTTTACACAATTTGATGTCATAGTAAAACAACGCGTGCTTACTAATTAACTAGATAGAAATGTTAAAAATCGATTATTATGCACCGAAATTCTCAAAAAAGCAAAACATATAATTATAATTTTGTAAGAGAAAATATTTTCAAAAACATTAATACCTTCTCGTCGAGATAATAATAGTTAACTGTTCAAATAGAATCTGGGTGTCAATACTGTGTGGGGGGGGGGGGGGGGTAATCCCCAGGAAAATAAATCAAATATTATTTTAAGTAAATTATATTGCAATCCATTGACATGAAATAATTATGTAAAAAAATGTATTGTTTTTATTGATATTATTACTATTATTATTATTACTATAATTATTATTGTTACTATTACTATTATTTCACCCACTCTCTTATCCGAGTTTTGCACACACCATTAAAATGTGCTCGTCTACATTTCCCTACAACGTTGTTATCCTGACACAATTTCGATGAGCCGATAGCACTTGAAATTGAATGATAGTTTACACATTGCATCGAACACTGTTTGCACCGGACTCTACCGAACAAATGTATAATGAAGTGCCAGTGTGAAGTGCAGTGCAGCGTGGGGACTACCGAAAGGAGGTGGACAAACCAGACGAGAGGAGAAAACTATTATATGCATTATAAATTATAATATTATAGTTTGTATAGTGTGGTCGGTATTTATTTGTAATCGTTTAGCATAATATATTATGTGGTGTACTAGTTGTATTGCATTTGGGTCTTACATTTTCCGAACAATTCTCTTCGAAATTTCCCGTTGTCAAACATAACCTATATATTATATTATAATTCTGGGGAAACTATACAACCAAGGTACATAAATTACCTAAATATTATGGTCGTATTATTAATCTATATCAAACACTGTATAGATATACATAAAACCATGAACTACTGTACAGTAGCTTAAAACAGTGTAAACTGCATAAACACATGTACCTACTTATTTGTCGATAGTTCGGAAATATTGTGGGTCTACCGTTGGACATAGTATAAAGATGAAAGAATAAGGCCAATATTAATATGGTGTTGAGTTGCATTGGAAAAACGAAAACTATAACAATTTCCACGCACTTCTCTGCACGTAAATGTTCACACATAACGGCAAACACTGGACAAACGTTTGATCTCATCAGCTCGCTTAACCATTCACTATCATATATCTGTATAAATTATGTTATAGTCATGGTCGTTTAAAAAAAAAAAAATATTTTTAATAAGGTCAGTCGTGTTCTGAAAATCGATAAAATATTGAAATCGCCTCACAGTACCATTTTAATGTACATAATATTATAATATTATATCGAACGATAGCCGACAAGCGACGGTAAATAATGTTCAGAACGAGAGTCAAAAACAAATAGCGTCGATCATAATAATATAGTATTTCGAGTTAGTGAAACGTGCGGTGAATTTTCATACTTATTTTTTTTATTCACAATTTCAAGATTTACTAGATTTTTCGTTGATTATATACTTTTCCGTCCAACTATAAGACGTGCTGTTATTTTTAAAAATATATATCATGAACACGGTTGTTTGAAATCACTGAAACGGCGGGAGTTTAAAATTTATTCTTCGAATTCAACCCATTATTTTGTACCCCATCACTATCGCCTATAATATATCAAACATTTTATTACAGTGGAATATTATCCATTATAAATCCGTATAATAATACTAATAATCATAATATATGATATTGTTATTAAATAATAATGCCACGAGCACCACGCTGCAGTATATTATAATACATGGAAATAATAAATTCGCTTATCAATGTATACTATAACGTTAGTTTCACAACAAATAACATTATTTCTGTCAAAATAAAACACTAAAATGTAAAATTGTTGGTATAATATTCACATGGTACCCATATAATAGTCCAAATTTAATAAATTTAATAAGTCTGATTTTATTTTTTTTAACCGTATTCAAATTTGATCAATAATTATCAGACTATTTTCTATCTTATTCCATAGCATTTGATTCACCAGCTGAAAATTCTGATCAGATTTTAACGATACCTATCGAATTTCGTGATTTAGACATTTAGTCCATTACCGCGATGGTTGTCCCGCGAACCCAATATTATTATACATATCGTCATCACCGTAAAAAACCATTACCACGTTCGACCACGTTTACTTCTTCGTCGCTTCCCTTTCGAAATTTAATTTGCATAACCCTTTTGATATCGAGTTAACCAAGCTAGCTCCCGGCGACCTTTCTCGTCCATTGAGAAAAGTACACTCAAACGACGACATATTAAAAGCGCGCGCACACACGTCCACACGACTGTATTCAACCACGCTTCTCCGGTTTTTGGGAATACGATTAATAGTAACCACTCGTCATTAATCTACCTATATAAACCACACAGCCCTGTCCCAAACTCTCGTCCTCCGTTCGGGATCATCTTTGGTTCGAAAACAAACTTTGGCTAATCCCGAATGTCAGTCATTTCCGGTCTAGAGTGGTGCAATGAACGTCCCCGGGTCAAAGACTCGGGTAAATCGATACGGAAACGTAACTGCAGCAGTCTAAACGGAAGAGAAATGGGGAGAAGGAATAATTAATATAAATTAGAATACATTATTATGTTATTTGAGGGAAAATTCAATTTGATTAAACATACTGTAACACAGCAGCAAGTGATTGGAAATTAGAATACGTATACGGTGGAGCGCATTTATTTTCAACACTATATTAATGATACTTTTTTATCGGACTCAATTGCAATATTATGTTATAATGTGTACCTAAACGACGAGGATAAGATTTTTTACACCAATGCATTACGATTTACAATAGCTCGTTATTTCCCTCTTACGACTTAGTTTGTTTTTCCGTATTATAAAAATGACGCAAGACGCTTCAAAAACTTATTTCATTAATTTTTCTACCGTTACAACCTGTAATTTTAGATTCTGAGCATAGCTAGGAACGTATTTGTTTTATATTATATAATGATGTGTTTCGACGCGTGGGTAGATGGATCACCCAAAAAGTTGCGTGTAATCCTACCTATATAAATTGGAAATTGAACACAGATGGTAGTTTATACAAAGATTATTTTTTTAATTTTCCCGTTGTCGGGATTTTGAAAAACCCTCAAAATAATAACAATGAATCTACGACACACCCGTTTAAGTCGTTTTATATTTATTAATTCAGAATAGAAATAAATAATAATCCTAAGGCTCGGCATTTTCACCGATTACTTATTTTAGTATTGTACATAATATGGACGAGAATTATTTATGAAAACAACAAATCTGATAACTTTCGTGGTGAACATATCCTTTTGTAGTATATATATATAATACCTTTACGTAAGTAGGTATTAATATTGTATAGTAATGTTGTATCAAACCAAACTTAGGTTGTTGGTTTTCGATTTGCAAATATTCAAAACAAACCAAACACCTAATAATTCGGTTCGAAAATCAGAAAATTGAAACCAAAATTCTTACTAAATCATATAAAGTACGATTCCTCGACCGTAATAATTGAACAATTTTTCAATTTATCACAATATTTTGAAAGTATATTACATTTGTATATAATTTAAATTATTGCCATAAATATTAAATCCGAAAATTAACAAATAATTTCCAGACACCCATTCGGAACATATCAGCACATTAGGAATGGTCGTGATATTATCAGTCGCAGTAAAATTCGTCTTCATAAGTTTTGCTTTACTAGCTATTTGCTACAGGTAGCGAAATCAAAATAACACAAAAGTCTTGAAAATTTGGACTGTTGAGTTTTATTTTATTTTTTTATTTGTTTTATTAATGTTTTATTTTTTTTTTTACACAAACAATATTATTTATTTTTGTTTGTGTTTGAGGTGTGCGAATTTGTTTTTGTTTTGTTTTACGAGCACGCATCGTACTTGTTCCGAAACATTGATATATATAATAATTTATTGGACCGATTTTAAAACACAATTATTATTTAAAATCAAAGATCCATTAAATCAAGCGCGAAAAGTAGGTACCTATATATCGTACACGTTATTTTATTCGTAATTGTTGGTAATTGGTGATACGAAAAAATAAAAAATATATAACAAGCCCGGTAACTTTTTGCGTTTAATTGCGACAATTCTTGTGGATTTCTCAAAATCATACAACGCTTACGTTTTTTTTTTATGTTTGAATTTGTGCATTGTGGAATTCAACTTCACCTCGCCTGTATGGAACGTTACATTGCGGTTTTAAAGTAAACGCTCACAGCACCAACACCGGTGTCTTGGTCATGATACTCATGACTGCTGTCGGAGTGGTGTTTCTGATTTTCACATGTTCTGCTTTGTGTTATCGCCACGTGGTTGTGTACAAAAAGAACCCCTGTTTTTGCTTCAGGTTAGTCAAAAAGCTCAGAATTATACTTTTTTTTTATAGATGACTACTAAATAATACTACCTATAAGTCATATAAATAAATAAATAAAAATACATCATTAATCGGTCCCTATAATTAGCACCTGACAACCGATCATCTCAATATTGTTCCTGTAGTTTCATAAATAAAACAGTGTACATAACATACCTATAACCTATTTATTTACATTTAATATTATGCATAACTATTATGTTGGCACTATTTAATTTTTATTTTTATTGTACAATAATAAAAGGATTTTTTAGCTATTACTTATATACATACATAGATCAAATAACACATTGTGTACATTAACTATAAAAAAATTTATAAAATTGTACGAACTCAAAATAACTTATATCGGCCAAGCATGCTAACAGTTTTAGTTTACTTAAACCGGTTCAGGCGAGGTAAAAAATACTGAACTTGTCTTGTACATCACGGTGCTTATTGTAGTTTAGTGAGATTTATTATGTGTTTTAATTGCGTATTTAGTCGTGACAACAGGTTTATATCCTAGGATAAAATCAAAGTCTGAATTGGTTATATATGTTAATATTTATGCCTAAAATATTAATGCCACCCCGATAAAAAAAAAAGGTTTGGCCATTCTCACTTTATTTTTTATTTCCGAACATATTACGTACACATACGTAAAACATACACTTAGGCTAAACCACCTGCCTACAAAATAAACGAACAATTATTTTTTTAATTTTAGTTTGAAGCCGACATTTTTACATTCTGCCCATTCTGGTCATTGATATCATACGCCTCAGCACGAGATGGTTCATAATATTGTTTTCGGGAAAATATTAATTCATAAACAATTAAGTATATTTCCACTCCTTGTCATTTAATTTTAATTTAAAACAGATTTAAATTATTTATCATAAAAACCTGGAAACCATAAAAAATGTGTGAGATTATTTTAAATAAAATACAGACTTAACTTTCGGTTTTAAAAAAGTATCCATTGGTTTATTATCAAAGTTGGTCGATTGTCCTTTTAAATTTTGGTTTGAAATATTGTTTTTAGTGCCAGTTCGATAAATTAACGATTTATTTATACATTCAACACTGTGATAAATGTTTTTAACGGCTTGTACTTGAATTGGACACTTTTGTTAACCCATTATACTTTCTACTCGAGTACATTAATGAAAACTTGAATTTACAAACTGTTCAAGCAACATGTGCTTGACACAAGAAACTTACACAGAAATTCATGTTACACAAACGGAGAGTTATTTATTAAGTAACACTCCTCTCATAACATTTTCTTATGAAACGAATGTCCAAAAAATCATTGGTTGAAATTGTTAAAAATAAACAATTAATATAAAAACACAAAACTTGAAACGATTCAACGATTCGTGCTAATTGTTGGTGATTATTACGTTCTATTGCTACCTATATTATATAACTGTACAGCAGATTGCAATAATTTTAACAAGCTACGTCATGACTTAAGTATGTTATTTTTGAATTCCAATGAAACAATTTAAAAAAAATACAACCTCTCGTGAAAAATAAAGACTTCATAAATGTCCCGCGTAGAAACTATAATGGATTATACTTTAGTGAATTATTTTTAACAAAAGTTCGAAAAAACCCAGATATTTTTGACCCAATGTCGTAATGAAGAGATCATATAGATACAACGTCCCAATAATTAATTTAACACTCTCAAAATGTACAAAAATAGTCATTGTAGCACCAACCATGTAGTTATAATTGTAGTATAGTCATCACGTAGTAGTGCGATTTGTGCATGGTATGATCAACTTAAGCATGTACCAATGCGCTTTTGGTAGTTTTGTATTTTAATTACGTATGTACGTGTATAATTCAATATTGTGCAAGCATTTATTAGTACGCTCAATGATGAATTAATCGTGTTTTTGCGTACAAAAATCGCATAGGAGGAGTAGTGAAAAACAAGCAGCTGACAAACAAAAGCAGTCGATCAATACAACTCCAGTATCGAAGCCGTCCAGATTTGACGCCCCCTCCGAAGAATCGGCCGAAGAAATGGCAATGGTTAACATAAACAGAATTAATAAATACGGAAACCAATCGCCATACAAGTAAATATGCGTCACACAATAATATTATATAACTTAGCAGAGTAAAACTCAGAGAAATAAAGATAAAATAATATTAAACATTTTTACTTATATTATATTATGACATTCATTATGCTGCTGCAGTTGGTAGTTAAGTAGCTCTGGGAAATTATTTTGATATTATGCATACACTGGATTTCAAAATTGTATTAATCTTGAACGGCATAATAATTGTAACACAGTCGAGGGCTTAGGACTGTTCTAAATACACCATGTGCTCTTCAACCCTTTGATATTAGGTTTTGGTCTAAAGGCTTAAATGTTATTACTCGGTACTTAGTTATTAGATTAGGTATGACCTAAGAAGAAGGATGTAAACTATCTGTGTGTGTGTGTGTGTGTGTGTGTGTGTGTGTGTGTCGTATCTCTTTCTCCCTCCCATCTAAGAAATTACAACACAATGTACTATGAACTAATTATTATTGTAATAAATCTCTAAGCCTTTTACAAGGAGTTAATAATAGTTTAATGGTCCAAACTTTGCGTAATACATATTATTAGTTAGATGTACCTGTTAAATATATTTTTTTATGTTCTTTAAATCAATATCGTGCGCATTTAAACATTTTAAACAATAATAATATATAATGTATTCTAAATTTATTTTTATTATAGTCGCTCAGAAACTGGATCCCATAAAATGCTCTTTCATTCAACAAACCATATGTCTCCAAGCACTTCTGGTATTTCCATGTAAGTGTATCATAAATATTTATAAACGTATCTTTCTTTTATTTATTTCAGTTATTTTAAGAATTGTTGTACGTGTTATATATAAATATTTTTTTTTTAGGGAGCATAAGTCACAAAACTTGTCCAGATTAGGCCTGTGCCCTAACGACGAAGACGATATGAACGTCCAAGGCAAGTTTATTTTTATTTCACTTATGATTGTATATTATTATCACCCCCAGAGATTTCGTCGTTGTGAATTCAACTTGTTGAACGTACTATATGTCAGTATATATTGTATATTGTCACAGATATTTTGTGAGTTCCGACATTACTCATTTGTTCAAACTTTGCTAACTTCCAACACAGTTCTGTCTGTTCGTCTTCTAATCTAATACCCTTGTGTATTTAACTTAAAGCTTACAGAAAATAACTGTTTTGGCCATATTGTTTTAAAATGTAAAAGTTTCATTATACTTTTAACACATCACGTGAATCATGTTCGACAGCGTGAACAATTTTCAAGTTGTCTTTGAACTTCGAAGGCTATATTTGAATTATTCATTATAGAAAACCATCACATGAGTGGACGTGGAAGCAGTTGTGGTCTAGCTCCGGGGTCTGTAAGTATATCTGACATGGAACGGAAAATCAAATCACTTGATGGTTACCACGGAGACTTGTTGGAAAAACTTCGTGACGCCGCCCATAGATCATCGTCCGGTGCCAGGTCAAGTAGTGAAGACCTATTATGGCGCACCTTGACAGAAACTGCTGAATCGGCTTATAATCGTATTACAGCTAGTCAAGAAAGACTGTGTGAAGACAGTTAGTAAAATTTAATTGTGTATTAATATCAATTATTTTAATTAATTATTACTTGAACGTTATAAACTTTAAATTTCATAAAATACCTATGTGTTATGTATGAGCATCAGTAATAAGTCACATAATGAATTACATTTAAATCAAAACTATTATTAAGATTCTGTAGTAAAATTTAATATTTTGAATTATAAATATTAATGAAATGTGTTTTTAGGGCATGGACTTCCTCAAAGTCATACCGTTCTATCTGAAAGTGGAGCTCCGACATGCCATCGACATCCATATCGGAGGCCCAGTCGGCGAACAGATATCGGTGCGTATTATGAATATTTCATCGTTTTTAATCTCACTAAAGTATACTTGACGTCCAATTCTAATAATATTCTGTTTAATAAAGCCCCGGAAGACGAAGAAGATACCGCTAAAGAGGTTTCCTCCACAATCCGTATACGAAATCTGGAAGACCTTTTCAAACAAATTCAAGAGCACACCGTAAGGCACAGTCCATCTGGTTCGGAAGAGAATAGGATGTCCGAAACAGAAGTCGACAGACACTATAGACATGACGCGCATCCCGGGTGATTATTTTTACTCATATATACTACACGTCATAGTATTACAATATTGTTATCAATTTAAGACCGGGATTTAAATGCGATAAAATATAGTAAAATATGCATTTGATTTTTAAAAAACTTCAAAAATATGAAAAAAATAAAAATTGTTAAAGATACCTATTCTAATTTTATTAAATAGCTTTCTTAAATGTACCTCAACACAATAAAGTATTTAACCATCAGTTTATTAAACTTGATAGCATATGGTTTTCATTACTTTTTATATTGTTATCGATATTCGATCAACTTAACTTGTATGAAAAATTGAGTCACACAGAAAAAATATTGAAAAGTATGATTATTAATTTTAACAATCAATTATTAGAAATTAATATTCACAAAAAATCCAAAGGGGTTATATGACCCCTCTGCTGCAACCCCCTTCGCTCATGAGTACTTCCATGAATCGTCGTATACAAAAGTTATAAAATAAAATACTAACTATGTAGTCATCGTGTAGCCCATCAAGGGAGCCTCAGCGGTAATAACAGTCAGTCTATATATGGGGACGAAAGGAGGGGCGCCGCAAAGACGAACGCCGCCCCCTCGATTAGACCCCCCCCCCCCCCCGATGGCTTATATTTTATATCGCGATTATTATTAATACGGCGTTTAGAGTAAAACTATTGTAACGAGAATGATCTTTATTTTTTGCTCACCCCGGCCGTTTTCCGCAGATGCGAAGAACCGAGATTCGTGAGGGGTTGGTACCGTCCGGCGAGTAGGGCGACCAGCGGCTCGGCGTCGCCGTACCAACAGGCGGCCGCCCGGGCGTCGTCGGCCACCGTCCACTCGACAACAGGTGAGGAAAGCATCTATGAATCGGCAGACCACCCGCCCTCCTGTCGGAACGCGTGTAATACCCCCGACAGCGAAAGGTATGCACCACATGCACAAACCCGTCATAGGCGCTAATTGTATAATATTATAATTAACCGTCGTACAGGGTGACTCACCAAAAATGATCAACCCCATTTTCTTCTTCGACAATGCAGTCAGTCAAAATCTGATTTTTGAAATTTTGAAATATAATTAAATGCTAAATTTTTAAATTCTTGAGTTTTTTTTTTTTTTTGTACACTACTCCAGAAGCGCCTTATGGAGATTCGAACTTCTATTTTTCAAATGAAAACCCCCGCATTTACTGAAAATTACTAAATTATTTAACAGATAATTTCGCTAAAAATTCGAAAAAGTAGTTTTTGAGTTATTTAAATTTTTATACTAAGGATATAGGTCTATGATAATAGGTTTGGAAGATGTAAAGGGCTATGGTGAATTAAAAATATTAACAAATAATATTGATCTATCAACGTTTATAGTTTTTAAAAACGGTCCATGTATAATAGACACTAGATCCAATATTACATCTATTTTATATTTTTGTAAAACCAATTTCTAGGAATGTTCTTCTTAGTATGAACATTTCAAAAGCTAGAAAAATACTCATTCGAATTTCAAACGTCAATACTGTCAAAAAAATTATCCACTAAATAATTTACAGTAAAAAATGTAAGTTCTCCTTCGAAGACAGAAGATTTTATCACCACATAACACTCCTTAAATTGCACAAAATGATTCAAGGATTTTAAAAAATGGTCTTTGTGCATAGGTTTATTTGAAAAACTCTAAAAACCAGATTTGCAACTGCATTATTATTGAAGAAGAATTAGGGATGATAATGCTTGGTGAATCACCCTGTATATTATATTTTTATTATATACACTTCATATTATTATCATTATAAATACGTACGCGCACTTATTAATTATAATATTATAGTTCCCAAAACATAGAGTAGTGTATTATATTATATTATATACAGGGTGGTTCGTTTAACGCCACAAGTCAGGTACTTACTTCGAGTTAGTTTGTTTTTCCAAAACTATGGTGACTTGTTTCGAGTTTAAAAAAAATCAAATAGTTAATGACTAAGAAACAAAAAAGTGTATTTAGTGATTATCGCCAGTACTTGAACTATATTTTATTAATTAACTGACAAAATGAGGGATGTGCGTTAAAAATATCACCCTATATATGTGGACGTGTATGTATTTATAATTGAGTGGTGTTAAATGGCTGATACTGTTACATGCAATTTAAAACTTTCAAAAAATAGTGGCTATTATATTTTAGAGAACAATTTTCAGAGATTCAAATTTCTAAATAATTTTTCTTTCATACAGATATAGTATATAGGTAAGACAATGCGGTTTAATTAATACTGCTTTTAATTGTAAAACAACAATGACATTTTTGTTTGGCCGATATGCATATTAGGTGCTGATGAAATGTTTGCCAAAAAATGTTGGTCGAATTACTAAAATATTGGCTAAGCCACAGTGTTCTAATACACACATAATATTTAAATCTATCCAAGTATGAAATATTGACGTAACCTCGGGAATATGCTTAACCGCCACCGATAAATTATGATTTGTATATAATATAATATAATGTGTATACTGTATATGATAAAAAAAATATTATTAACACGAGTAGATTTTTTTGAAGACCGCACGCGTGATCGTTTTGTTTTTTTCTTCTCCATCTCGTTTCGTTACTACCGCAATAACTCAAACATAATATACCATATACCGGCAGATAAATCGGTTTTCAGTTAATCGACTGTGTCGTTTCCGAACGAATTTCGTGGTTGTGCAAAACAAAATATAATAAGACGAGGAAAAAAACGAAACGCCCACAGCTGCTGTGCAAAATAAATAAATATATTATTAGGTATATAATATGTACATGGGATGGACCACTGTTTTTTCCCGTCCGTCCTCCGCGCAACTGACAAATGACTGAATGAGGACAACGGGAAACCTCGGGGTAGTCCGTCCTCTATATTATTATATTATAATAATAATAAATATAATGTAATATTATTATAAACGTTAAGTTAGAGTAGTTATAGCCCGTAGTAATATATATAATTATAATATTATAGTTATCGTAGTAACATATTATATCATAATAATTATGATGTCCACTTTCTGTGAGATCGAGTTCAAAAGTCACATATCAATTACTAGGTGTGTAAGGAAAAAAAATTTATTTTCTATCAGTGATGACTTTTTTTAAATGCGTTTTGATAGCGAAATCATATGCCATTCCGGATACTCTTTTCGAGTACGTCCGACCGTCCGTTTTACTTCCGGTATCGAGTCTGCCCGTTTATTCCTAATAAATAAATAAATATATTATACCAAACTTATTAGTATATACGTATGATTTTTTTTCGAACACATTTTGACTTGATAAATATTATGATCACGCAATTTCACGAAGTGAGGGGTGTTCCATTTAACCGAAGACACCCATTATTTAAAAAACCCTGACATTTTTGAAAATATTTCGTTTATACGATTATAAGTCATTTCAAAATATTTTTGTTTTAATTCTATTTTTCTATAAGGTTTTTAGTGACAATATATAAAGGTACATTTTTAATTTCATATTCCGAAACAGAGTATTATTCGGAATATTCCAATCCATCAAAATCAAATTTCAAAAAAGTAGTTTGTTAAAAGTATCTACTTAAAATTTAGATGAGTGGAGAAGTGGACCAACATTTTTCGAGGTAACTGCTTTATTCCACTCCTCTCGACTAAACTTTAAATTATTTATAAATCATAGACTTACTCGTTGAAAATTCAATTTTTATAAGCCAATGTGTTCCAAAAAATATTCTGCTTTGTGATAAGGAATTAAAAATGCATTTTGTCATTAGGTAAAGCAAAGTTAGTAAAGTAAAATTAAATTAAAGATATACCACAAAAAGTAGTAAGAAATATTATATTTTTTAGAAATTTTTGTTTTCTTACGACTTAAAACTGTGAACAAAAACACTTCAATTGTTGCTGGTTTTTTAAGTAATGAGTGTCTTACATGAATCACCCGGCGTATGAAGACCGACCACGTCACGCTGACTGACAAATGGTAGACCGGTAACCGCATTTAGATACCACAAATACGTCCCCACGCACATTCAGATGCGCTTTACCCGTCAGGCGTACTCTCAGATGGACATAATACCATCACCGGGTGAACAATTTTTTGGGTACTTGCTTGCTATCGCCGAGCCACCGTGAACCGTATAAAACGTATCACCCTTGAATGTATCGGTCTATAAATCTGAAATGTCGACATTTCTGTGTAGGTATTTTGATAGTTTACGTGTACCTCATGCCATAGGTAAGTCTATAGCGTACGACACGCTCTATTTACGGACAAATGGTAAATACTTCATAACTGTATTATATTTTACTTTAACCGTGTTATGTAGTAGGTACCTATAAGTTGTCAGCTTGCCGCTACATCGTAGATAATAATAAGACGTATACATTTAAGTGCATTTATCCATCTCACGCAACATAACGTTATCAAATTATTTTAAGACGTTGTAAAAAGTTCATTTTAAATATTTTCCACGGTATTTTTATTCATGCTATAGCATTCAATTTTTACAGTAAAAACATATTATCGTTAAAATCTTTGAAAGATTTTATTACATACATTTTTTTTTTTAATATTAATTTACACCTCATTATGAAATACTAAATATTCATACTTTTACTATTCATATCAAAAACTACATATTTAGCGGTATCATATACGTATAAGAAGTAAGAACTATCCTATTATTATATTATAGAATAACAACAGACGGTCACGGGGTGATAAATTTTATACGGTCCAGTGGCGAGCGGGACAATAGCAACAGGTACCGAATTTTTTTCGGATTTCCCCGAAGTACCTATTTTCAAGTCGCTTTTCCGTGTGTTTAGAAACTCGAGTTGTATAACCTTGCTATGGGGAAAACCAGGTGCATGTCACGCAAAGGGCGACCCGCCGTCGTCATAATCATACATTATTATAATATCGCGCCGTTTGGGTGTGAATAATAAACGTTTGGTTTTTGTGCTTTCTCTTTTTTCTCGTTCCCTCGGAAGCTCGTCGACCAATAGCGCGGTCGGCTAGCATGGACATGCCGGCGGTCGCGGCCATCGCCGACAGTGGCGTCCGACAGCCGGCGGCCGCCCGCAGTGGCGGCAGCAGCAGCGCCCGGAGCAGTCGCCGGTCCTCGACGCACCACCAACACCGCTCCGGGTACGACCCGCCGCCGTCGGCCACCAGCAGCGGCAGCGGCCATTCGCCGTCGCCCCGGTGCCGGCAACGGCGAAACGGCGCCACCGACGACACCCGCGCCGCCACAACCAGCATCACCTCCACCACCGCCAACAACACCACCATCATCACCGCCGCCGCCGACAACAACAGCAGCAGCAGCAACAGCAACAACAGCAGCAACAACAACAGCCACCACCACCACCACCACCAACAACAACAGCAACAACAACAACAACAACAACGCTCATTTTCCGCCAACAACCGTCCCGACCCAACCCCGACCGCGGCGCACGAACGGTCCGTGCTGCTCAACAACAAACATTTTCCCGAATACAAACACTGACGTAGATCGCGCGCCGCCGACGCCGCCGCCACTGGAGGACCGTCGTTTGACGGTATCCTGTCCGGTTTCCTGTCCGGTATCCTCGACTCGTCGTTGTCGTCGTCCACTTAATGGTGGCGGCTTCAAGTGGTGGAGCAGGACGGGGTTGAAGGTCCGACGGTATGGCGACGGCGATTGTCGTGCCGTATAATTATTTTTATTATTGTGAATATTATATGATATTGTAAATGTCTGTGCGAATGTGGCCGACGGCCATCGCGCACGCGTATACCCCCCCCCCCCACACACACACAACAAGTCATTGTCATTATTATTGTTGTTGTGTTGTTCCATGTCGTTCCACATGTCAGCAATAATAATAATGCTTATAATATGGATGTGCGTCGACGTCGTAACCGCCGGCTATGGTTATTACCAGTCATAACTTATTAGGTTAAGTTCAGGTGCGGATCTAGAAATATGAAGTGGCAGGTAACCTTTTTTTGGAAAAATTATTATTTTAGTACTCACAAAATAGATCATAGATAAGATTTGGTAACAATAAATTAACAATTTTATTTGTATTAAATTATATCATTGTCAAATGGGTGAGGTGCTAAAGGCCCTTTATTGACGTGCCTAGGTGGACGAGAGTTAAGGGTTCACCCCCCACCCCACCCCGGAAAATTTGTTCCGAGTACAGCCTTGATACCTAAAAGGTATTAATTGTTTCTTTCAGTACACCACCACCAATGTGTTTATAATGATCAATAACAATATAATATTATTATGGTAAGGGCGAAGATTTTAAGAAGACCCGGAGCTGGTCGTGAGCTGCAATTTAGTCGGGTAGTACAGCAGTAGTTACTAGTTGCAGTGGTCAAAGTTATTCTTGGTTCGCATGAATTAATATTCCCATTGAAAATTGTACCCGAAAAGACGCCGTCGCGTGTATTATAATAATAATAATAATAATATATTAGACTCGTAAGAGCACTCCGATGATGGATCACGTCTCCGGGTCACGGAATTTATCGTTTAGCGTTCGTCACACGATTTCCGGGCATAATTAATTGTTCCAGTTCAGTAAGCCCCGGTGGTCCCCTCCACCCTCAACACTATCGACCACCCCGCAGTACCGTCCCTGTAGTCAGTCGACGATGCTCTGAGCCGTTGCCGCCATGCGTGCGTGTGTCTGATGCGCTTACGTTTAAATTAAATCTCTGGCGAGGTAAAAAAAAAACAATAATTGTGCCGGTACATCGAAACGATTTGATATCGTAAAATACTAAAATCGTGTAATATTATGAGGGCGGGGTAAAAACCTTTGCCTACAATAGTATTGCTGTCATCGTCATCATTCGCAGTTTGGCACTGCTGTGTCACGGCAAGGGAATGACATCATCTCCAGCGTCCGGCGAGTACTTACCCTATTTCGATTTTGCAAACGCAAATCGAGTGTACTTCACTCCTCGTGATTTCGTCTCGTATAATATCAAATCGACGACATGGTAATACACTCTATAATCTTCCCGACCCTCGGCGCGTGTAATATTCTCTCGGCGGTGTTTGCGTTTCTCGGGGCTCAATTTTTTTCCTTCAATCCCGTACAAATAAACCATCTCGATCACGTAGTTTTCTCTATTCGGTCCCGATTCTCTAAAAAAAAAAAAAATATGTTACAACGAGTTGTTCAGTACCTATGCGAGTGAACAACAACGACACACTATTCGCCGTGCGTTTCCGATAACGAATCGACTTACGACGTTTTCCTCGCTACACGTATTACGTATAATGTAATACGTGCGTTTCGCGTGTATACGTATTTTCCGTGTCGTTTTTATTTTTCCGCTCTTTCTCTCTGCTCCCCCTCCACACACACACACACACACACACACACACACGCTGTGGAGATTTCACCGACACCGATTTTATAATGTCGTTTACCGTAATTTTTTTTATTTTTCCACCTCGCTCTCTCGCCACAGAAACGACTTTTGGACTTTATTCGTATTTTCGTCGCGCGGCCGACGACGACTGGGAGATATTTTTCGACGCCCGAGACAAAAAATAATATTCATAAAAATGACATCCGGGACTTCACGTTCTTTCCTTTTTATTGCGCGGTCGTAAGCAGGTCTCGTGATCGTGTAGGGTAGTTGTACTACGTGTACAGAGCGCTAGACAACCGGAAAATGTAATTTTCTCGTCCCATATTATAATAATAATATACAATATACATCCGCCGTCAGGCACGCATCAAGAACTTTTCTGCGTATCAAAAATCATTAGTCGACCAATGATGTTCAGTGTACCTATATCATGCTGCTCGTGTACGATTAAAAATATATTTTAAAACACTTTTATTGCCCTCATGAACATACTTAATAATATCAAATAATAATAATTTTAATGTAGGCACTGCTGTATAGGTTATGATTATTATTGTTGATATTATCGTTATGTTACACTACACAGTTCTTGATGCAATATATACAAGTATGATATTAAAATATATTATAACATAATATATTGTATAATATATTAATATCGTTGTTATTGATTTTTTGTTTCCTTGTACATATTTTTACCAGGGTTACTTTAAAATATGTATAACTAACATTACTATATAAATCGTACAAACATATATATATATATATATAATATATATATATATATATATATGTCTATTGCAGTTTAAAAATTTGTCTTCTATATATTGTGTATCTAAATAATATTATATTAAAATAGTTTTGTATAAAATGTTTTCCGTAGTGTATATTTAAAACACGAATGCATACGTTAAAAATGCGCGTACTTAAGTCAGATCCGAGATCGCAACTGCCAAAAATGTTTTTTTTTAATAATGTTGTACAACTGTAATAATAATATGACTTATTATTATATATATTATTACGATGTTATAATATGTTATTGAAAAATACAAATTTATCGATCTTGTTTTTCGTTTTTTTTTTTTGCTCTATTACATTTTTCTACAAATGTAAATTGTACCTATTGATTTATAATAAACTTAAATATTAACAATATAATATATTATAATAGTCTTGCCGCCAAACATAAGCCACAAAAATCCAAAAATAATCGAAAATACACGAAATCATATAAGTAGGTAGGCACCTACATCACACCGGAAAGCGCTCACGAAGAACACAGATTTCCGGTGCGCCAATTATAAGTTACTACACTTGACTCTGTTTGGTAATCGTTATTATGGGCACCTACTCCATAAATATACACCATTTTCACATTTCTGTACAATTGTATTGTAGTTGAATTTTGTTATATGTCGCATAGGTGGGTGCCTATAATATGACTATACGTTTTCCAACATACATTCGTCCGCCGATGGTACCTCCCAATATATTTCAACCTGTATATTATTATATCTTATGGAACTACGAACAAATTTGCGTATAATTATCAGTTGTGTACGGTGTTTCTCGTGACAACACGACTACCTCAGATTTAAGTTATACATCCTCGTTAAAAAAAAATACGAAAAAAATGTCTCTTGTAAAAAAGTAAAATTAATTAATTAATCGTAACGTTTTGTTATTTTATCATTATTATTTACCCCTAATATGAATATTATAATAATAATAACGAGAATAGTAAGTAGGCAGCACAGTTAATTCGTAATAATTATTTTTTTTTTACCATCTGAATTTGTTCCGAATTCCCAGTTTCCACCCTATTCATGTGAGATAAAATGAGAGTAACCGTTCCTTTATAAACATTTTAATTCCTCGAAACTTTACTGCGGTAAGTCGTAAGTGTTACTTATAATATCACGGACACTCAACGTGTATTATTCTAATGGGTAATTTTAAAATATAATTGGTTACCTCGTAGGTACTAAATTATATATATTGTCAATATACCGAAGGCGTTAACGAATTAAGTAAGCACCTACCTATACATAAATAATAAAATTAGGTTGATAAATATGTTTTTCTTGATGTACCGTTTTTTTATAACATATATTATATATATGTTATTTCCTTATAGATTATCAAAAATATTAGGTGTTTATTTATTTTACCAAAAAATTGCTTTGTCATGTCACATTCTATACACAACAAATTTAATTTCTCCAATGTACAAAAAAATGTCATCAGAAAATATTAGGACTCTTTTCCGCATTCCCCCTTACTCAGAGATCCATATGACTTGAAGGGATCGCGTTTGAGGAAAGGCAACTAAATAAGAGAGTCGTCCTCCTTATACACCTGTGACCAGATGCGCCAGGGCTTAGGCTTTTTTTTTACACAGGATGACATATTTTCATTGATGAAAAAATCACTAGCTCTGTCAGCGACTAATGAGAACTCGCGCTTCAGGGTAAACCTTTAGGGACCGACTTTCGGTCCTTCGTGTGTACCTTCTACATATTTGAGTGCAGCGGCACAACTACGCCCAAAAAAACCTCGCGTAAACGATCTACTCGATCGACAGCTATTTCTAACCGGCGGTTTAGACGTAATAAATTGTGTACAATTATATTATATCCCCACCTGTTTAATATTATGCTAAAATATCGATATTCTAAATAATAACCAACTAATGTACGAACGCCTCCTAAAGGTATAAAATACGAGGACAACGACGACATTGCCGGTCCTCATCACCCGCAACAATAATTTCAAATTGACAAAAATCGTTTCAAACTATCGGTTTTTATTTTTTTTTTCATTGTCGTTGTCGTTCTTGTTATTGTTGTTGTTGTTGTTGTTGCTTTTGTTGTTGTTAATGTTGTTGTTGTTAATGTTGTTGTTGTTGTTGTTGTTGATGTTATTATATATTATTGTTGTATACCTAGTGTGTTTATTCGTACACTCGCGCGAAACATGTGTACGCCTATATACTTTAAGTGGAAAAAAATCAATTCTAAATTTGAGTTAACTATTATTATTATTATTATTATTATTATTATTATTAATATTATTATTATTATATTATACACATAATATAATATAAAGACGTCATATACTGTATTCGTGTTTTTGCCCGTAATTAATTAAATAATTGTGTGCGGTTACCTATACCTATATACCTGTAATATTATTATTGTCCGTTGTTATTATTATTATATAAAATTCATTGTCGAAAATCTTGTATAGGCCTTTATTATATTCTAATATTATTATTATGTATTATTATTATTATTATTATTAATATTATTATATGTGTTTAAATTGATTATTTCTAGAAGAGGGAAAATTTAAAAATAATGTTTTGTTTGAATCCCATATTATAATGTACAATATACACATACGCACAGTCGACTTGCTGCGGTTATAAGGTGCCTGCAGCTCTCAACTACCCTGACGTATATATATATATATTATTAAATTATGTGTGTGCGCAGTTTCAAGCCTGCAGGGGGATGGTCTTTCCGCAGGGGAGGGTAAAACTCGAAAGTCCACGAGACGTTTTGTGATCTGTTTTTTATGACCGTCGAACAACGGGCCCGCATTAAGTATAACTGCACGATAATAATATTATAATTTATAATATATTATGATTTTAACACAATACCCACCTATTAATATCGTCGTAAATCAGATCGCACGTACCCGCTATTTTTTTCACTTGTACAATTTTTTGTACACGTTTCGAAAATTTGTCGACTGCAATATCTGAGCTGACCCACTGCGTGCACATGATAATAATAATAAATATTATTTAATTTAATAAAATATACGTAAAACGACTGCACTAACAATACAAGTACGTAGGTACTAGTTACCCACTATAATATTGTTATTGCCTGTATAATTGCCACACCGCAGCCGTGTTATATATTATTGTATTGTTGTATGGTTTGATCTCTTAAAACCCTATTTTTTTCGCTCTCGAAATGTGTACAACACAACAATTCGACTAAATTCAAATTGTTTTAAATGTATTAATATTATTATTATTATTAGTTTGATATATTTTAATATTGTGCGACGTTATTTCTATACACATACATACCATATAAATATATAATATACTTTATACATTATATTGGTCATATTGTGCGTTAAATTTTAGTATATTATATTATTATTATAATTATTATTTATTATTTATTAATTATTATTAATATTATTATTACGATATTGTTTTATGAATATGTTTTATTTTTACTCGTAGACGTGTGCAGGGTATTTAAATTATTATTATTATTACGATGTAAACAATATAGAAGTTATTATACGACCCGTAATCATATATAGACCCATTGTAATTTGGCTGAGAAGTGCGTATGGAGTTAGCGCCTACACCGCCTACCTAGTCACATAATATAATATTAAAGTATACGTGACACGGTATTATAGTCTAGTATTATAGTAGTATGTAGACGACTGCTCAGAATTTACAGTAATAAAACTATCCTACATGTTCGGGTAAGTACGGGTAGGTAGTAGTTAGGTACCGCGGAGTTTACCTACTTAACTATACATACCTCCATGGGGCGCTAAAGGGGTTCAATCTCATCATCTGCCATCCGAGTCTCGTTTAGACGAGTTTCGTTCAAGTCCCGTAGAAGTTTAAGTCAACGTACTTAGATTATTATACATTATACCCGGTGCAGAACGATTGTGCATTTTTTACACATTTTCTTTATGATCGCGCACTAAAAATAAAAAAATATTGTAGTTGTCCTTTGTTACCTAACAAAAGAACGAAAATACAACAAGACTACGTACCTAAAAAAAGTTTATTTACAAAAAGTTGGTTTAGAATAATTAAAATCAATCCTAACTTATTAAAAGAACACAATTCAAAATCAGAAATATCAAATAGGTATATAATTTGGTGAAAATGATTTTCTCGGTTTTTACTCCAAAATATATAGTTAACGATTTTTCTGATGATATATTAGACAATATTATGTATACCCTGGATCCTGATGATTTTTGTGTATTATTGTATTACATATTTATGTGTACTAATGTCCTTATATGATTGTATCAAAATCGTAATTTAAAACTTGCTGTAGGTCAGGTACCTACCTAGTAGTTTAAAAAGCAATTAAAATAGCACAATTGTTACTATTTTATTTTCGTATAAAAACTTTTTTGATGCGCAATCATGTTGTATTTGCGGTAGGAAAAAATGACGATCATATTTTTTGATGCGCGATTGTGTTGCACCCTTAAATACGCCTTTTAACTTGTAACCTACATACCAATATTGTATTTTGATAATTAACGCAATTCAATATAAAAAACCGTTGTTAACAAATATTTTCTCGTATGTCAAGAGTTACACCCAATATAGTCGAGAATCGACATAAAAAATTAGGAGGGAGGAAGCTTAAACATCAAACAAATTTCAGAGGAAACAGACCCGTTCAACCCTATTAACGCCAACCGAGAGATACCTTACCCTTTCGTAGTTTCTACCCCCGTCTTATACAATTCTACTATGGCATCAAACAACATTCAAACCATTCTTCGCTTCGATATTATAACCATATTATACAGGTACTTACTACTTCTTCCCACAAAATACTTACTAACGACGGGTGACTTCGACGAAATCTCGGGCCGCGGGATGGAAATTTTCTAATGACCACTCCATGACAGTATATCTAATTCTTAATATTAACTACCACCCACATTGTAATTTCATATATAACTCGGTGAATGGTCCTTTTCGAAATACCTATATATACGTACATATATATAAAATAACATAACGACGATGAATTTCGCGATATCATTGTAGATATTATTGTTACTATTATTATTATTATTATTATTATTATCACGATAGATAGGAACATGATAATATGAAATTCCGGAAAAATTATTATAATTATTAATAGATATAAGTATATCATATATATATATATATGTATAGGTATATAAAAAAACGACGGATAAAAATATTCTGGCGACCAAAAAAAAACGAATTGTCACTGTAACGTCCAATTTTCAATTTCATTTTTTCCTCGGTCATATATATGGTTATATAATAATTAATAATAAATAATTATAATATGTGAATACGTACATCCTAATAATATAATATAGACTCAGGTGTACCATATATTATTAATGTATTATTATGATTTGATTTTTTTCTCTCGATCTACTGAAACCAAAATAACTGCGAGTAATAATAATATTTATAAATTTAAATGTTTTGTAGATAATGTATAAAAAAAAAATTAAAAAAAGTTCTATTGTTCATTATAAATACATTATTATATATTATAATATTATGTATTATTTTTTTTTTATTATAATTATAATTATTATTTCGATTTTCGAATGCGCGAGAGGACTCGCATAGTAGTTTATAAGGTCATTAAGTCGTCTATTTGTAAATATAATACCGATAATAATATTATACATCAATTGATAATGTTGTATTATATTAGTAATATTATATTATATTATATTATATTATAATAATGTTGTAAATTTAAGATTACCAGTTTGAGTATTCTGTGCTCAATTGTTTTAGCCATTTAGGCTACAATATATAAGTGTCACTTTTTTATAGATAAATGTTTTAGGAACAATAATATAATGATTATTATTATACAGAAACAAAAAAAAACAAAAAAAAATATTATAAAAATAATTATTGATTGTACATAATAATTTATCCATTCTGAAGATATATTATAATATGGTAACTAAACAATGTGATTATATATATATTATTATATATACATATATATATATATATATATATATAATAAAAACTAGAATTTGGAGTAAATCATTTAAGATTGTCGTAATTCCATATTTCCATTGCCACTTCCATAACCAAACATAAAGCAACTGTGCGGGTTGCCGGGTTATTATTTTATACAACAACGTCTATATAAGTTGAATAATTAAGCATCTATATAATTCAAACATCAAAAGTGGTTTTGAAGCGTGTCGTGAAAGCGATAATCACCCCACCATGGATGGTAAGAGTTGTGTAAATGGATGGGATCTTCGATTATATGTGGTCTGTTTACCTGAAACATACATCGTTTGCTCTGCGGCAAAAAAAATTTACCATTATACAATCTGCGACAAAACCGATAAGACACACTATACAAACTGCGGCAATTTATTTTATATACCTACCAAAGTTATTATATACTGCTCATATATACATACCTACGAGTATCGTTTAATTAATTACCTATGTTATGTTATTTATCTTTCTTACAAATTGGTATGGTAAATCCAAATGTATTTTTAAGTTTAACGAAACATACTGAATATCGGCTCCTTTGCGTTTAATAATACTAGTTAGTATCTGCTTACTAGTGTCAGTAGAAGTACTCGTAGTTAAAAGTTTACTATTTTGTTCAACGTCATGGAATTTACAACAATGTTTAGCCAGAACGGCAAACAATTAACAGTGTTAGATAGTTTTAAATTCAAATTTAAGTATGAAGCGAAGATAAGTGGTAATAAAACATGGGAATGCACTAATAAAACATGCAAAGCCAAATTGGTCTTCAACAAGAATAAAACTCTACTACAAGAAAAATCAGTTTTGGATCATAGTCACGAATCAGATTCTACAATTGAACGTCAAGCCGTAAGTAATAATATCAAACGAAAAATGTCTGAAAGCAATATAAACGAAATGCCATCCAAAATAATTAGAAAAGAACTTCGTAGTTTAGGAAATGATACACATTTAATGACTAATGATATTTCATATATTCGTAGAAATTTATATAATAAAAAAGCTGAATATCACCCACCACTTCCCAAGGATATTAATGAAGTACATGAAGCTCTAATAAATATGAATATTATGACTAACAAAAATGAAAACTTTTTGCTAGTTAATGATAAGGAAACAAATATAATTATATTTACATGTCTCACCAATTTAAAATACTTATGTTCTATGGAAAAAGTTTTTATGGACGGAACATTCCAGTTCTGTACTAAATTTTTTTATCAGTTTTTTGTACTGCATGGATTTCAAAATGGTATATATATGTCTCTGGTATATGCATTGCTTCCCAATAAACATACATCGACTTATAAACATTTATTTAATAAGTTACGTGATGCATGTTTGGCCGAAGGATTTTCACTAAACCCAAATATGTTCGTAATTGATTTTGAAATTGGAATACACGAAGCGGTCCGCAGTATTTGGCCAACCAGTATTATTCGAGGTTGTAATTTTCATCTCGGCCAAGCTTGATTTAGAAAATTACAATATTTAGGTTTATCCAAACTTTATATTGAAGGAGACACAGATGAAGGAAAATTTGTTAATTATATTTTTGGTTTTCCGTTCCTTGAACCTGAAGAAGTCGAAGATTCGTTTGTTTTTGGATGGAGATATGCCATCTAATAGTCAAATAGTAAAATTTTGTGATTATTTAACAGAAAATTATATGCAAGAAATATTCCCTCCTTCTTTATGGGCATCGAAATCAGAAGTTATAACAAATAATGTATGTGAATCTTTCCATTCAAAATTTAATGCATATTTTTATTATCATCCATCACTGTATAAATTTATAGATGCTCTACAAGATATCCAAGTTGACACATATTTAAAAACTAGAAGTGCAGAAGAAGGGGTAATACAAAAAAGAAATAAAGCGACAACGCAAAAATATAAATTTATTAACGAACAGCGACAAATGAAAGAAGATGGACGAATTTCAAGATACGAATTTTTGAAGAAAGTATGTTTTAAGAATAAGCGACAAAATGTTTAAAAAGTAGAGTAAATAGGTAATTATTGTATTATTTGAATTTTTTTATTATACGATCAAAACGATTTCTTAAAATAATTTTTATTAATAATAATATTTGGATACACGTCAATTGATCGTAAACAATTGATCGTGCGACAATTGACCGCAAACAATTGATCGCAAGCCAATTGACCGCAATTACAATTTACCGCACGACAATTGATCGGAAAATCAGGAATCGGAATCAGTAATAATTTTTAATTTGAATATATAAATATATTACATTAAGGTAGATATTTAATAAAAAATGTTGGTATATAAAAATTATACGTAATATTTTTTTAAATAAAAACATTTAATGAACCTACATATAATTGAATATAAATAATAATAATAATAAATATGTCACCCAATGGCCTTTGTTGCCGCGGGTTATCTAATGAAAAAAAAAAAAAATAATAATAATAATAATAAATACATTAAGGTAGGTCACGTATAATATATAAGAATTAAACACTAAATATTAAACTTGCAATTGAAAATTGTATGCAATGCCACGAAGAAAATCTTCAATATTTGTATAATTGCTATAATTGGTACATATTTTTTTGATTTTAGCCGCTCTATCTCGGTAAATTTTTTTTTTTTGGAGGCTCATTGCCACCTACGTACTGCTCGATTTTGAATCTGTTTATGCTCTCTTCTTTTTTTAATGCATCTATAAACCGCCAAATTGAAGGATGCTTACCATTTATAAGTGATGTGAAACAATTGTGCCACCCTTCTATAGCATTATTTGTTGTAGCTAAATCTTGGATTACTCTCGAAAAACAATTCCATAATGTGATTGCATATTTTGGTGGTTTTCTTTTTCCTCTCCTATCTAATTTTCCTACCCATGTATTCTCGAAATAATCCAACAGCGGCGCCAGTAGATCCTCATTATCTGTGTAGTAACTTGTAGCTAGTAGTGCATCATAACATTTAATTACATCTGCTTCTGGAATAAATGCTAATGCGGGTAGCATTCGAATTCTTAATGATAACTCTGGATCATTTCGATAAGTTGTCTGTAGGCCCAATTCTTGTACATGACGCCAAATGCATTGCGACATATGAAAAAAACAACCTTTTATCTCTGTATCACAAAACTCCATTTCGATAGCATTTAAAGCTGCTCTTTCATAATCTATCATAATACTTTTTGGATTTAAATTTGGTTTCAGTGATTTTAAAATTTCAAACATGTGACGGTAAGTTTTTTCTTTTTTATCTGGCAGTAATATGTAAACACTAGGAATAACGTTGGAATAATACACCCCGTGTATAGTATATAACTGAGAAAAAATAGGGGGTGCCACTGAAAATGTTCCGTCGCAAAACCAATTATCACATTCGCTCATAAAATCTAAATTTTGTTGAGTTGTAAATATTAAAATACGAGATTCAGTAGGACCACTATCGAATTTTAAAAATAATTCGCCATTAGAGTTATACCTATATTGATCTGGTATAATAAATTCAAAATTACTTGGATTAGCCGGTGCAGCTTCCTCCTTTTGGCGCAAACGTTGAATTGTCCTTTTCAAGGTATTAACACTCGACATTTCCGCGGAAACTGCACTTGTTACCTAATTTAGTTTAATTTTCATAATTAATATTTTATCCATTTCTATGCCACTAAAATATGAATTACCTGCATAACTGTGTTTCCTAAAACTGAATGTGTGCTGAGAGTTGTTTGTGATGCATTTTTCTTTAAAATTGAAATAACTTTTTTTGCTTCGATTTTTGCTGCATTTGGAACGTGATTATTATGTTCAATATATTTGGTGACTTTTTCGTCTATTACGTGTACACGACCTTTACAGTGATTTTTTTTGTATTCTGAACATTTCCAATATATTTTATTTTCATGTTCTCGTTCTTTTACGTGTAAAAAACCTTGATAAATAAGTAAATACTTATTTTTTTCGCTTAATACGTACTCTAAAGCCATAATCTATGAACAATACTTCAGCTGCACGAAGTTATTAGCATACTGATTGGGATTGTGTCAGTACGTTATGTCGATCGAATAATATTACGAAAAATTCCTATTCACCTTGCACTATGAAATAACTTAAAGCTATTTTTGCGATCAATTGTCGTGCGGTCAATTGTAATTGCGGTCAATTGGCTTGCGATCAATAGTTTACGGTCAATTGTCGCGCGGTCAATTGCTTACGATAAATTGACGGTACACCATAATATTTTTCAATTTTCAAATTGCTTTTTTTTTTTTTTTACTTCTAATTCTCTAACAGTCTCTAGAGATTTCAATAATTAAGTGTAATATAATATGGACTCCATAAGCATTTAATAATACGTAGATACATTGTACAAGATATATAGGTACACATAGGTATGTATATATTCGAGTAGTATATAATAATTAATAACTTTGGTGGGTATATAATATAAATTTCCGCAGTTTGTATAATGTGTCTTATTGGTTTTGTCGCAGATTGTATAATGTTAAATTTTTTTTTGCCGCAGTTTACATATCGACTTTTAGAAAAAGGTTAATTTTGCCGCAGTTTACCATCTCCCGTTTGCTTATCTAAATATTAAACTGCAGTTCTTTAGTAAATTCGCTCCACCTGCATGGCTGCATCACAATTCACAATATATTATTAAAAGAAGTTTTACATTTTAATACCATATTCAGGTTGAACTTGAAAATTCAATAATTGTAAAGATGCACATATTAGTATAATAAAGTACAATAATACCTATCATAACATTAAAATAAATATGTACTCCTATTCAATTGCATTTAAAACAATTCAGTAATAATTATAATACACAATGTACGACATGCATAGGTATTCGAAAAAATCTATGGATTTATCAATAAGTCATATGGCATCGAGTTTAATATTGTTATAATTTATAAGTAGGTATATATTTTTAAACAAAAATAGGTACCTACCTATTAACGATATTTGAAAGTTGAATGTTAAGAGCGCTGAAAGTTAGTAAACCAGGGCTTTTGGGTAGGCACTTCTAATCTTTTCCAGTTATATTGTTAAATAACAATATGCTGATACGATGAAAATATTAAATGCATAATCATTTTACGTAATGTAAAACGGGCGATTGAAAAACTGTGCATAAGTACATAATCCAAACTTTGAACGATGAGCATTTTTTTACAAATAAGGTCGAAATTAATGGCTGAGTACAATTGAGCATAAAACACCTTTTTTGTCACACGATTGAGCAAAATTGTCGCCGTATCGAAAGGAATCGAAGTACAAAAGATTACACGATTGAACATAAAAAACTCTGCACCGTTATACCATATTCAATTTTGAACTGTACTACAAAAATATTTAGTTATATTATAATTATAATAGTTCAAAATAAAACACGTCAAAAAAATAACATGATTGCATAGTCAATAATATAGTATAATAATATTATATAGATCTGCTTGAAAATAATAATTATTATTATATACCATATTTTTTTATTTAATTAGCTTTTAGTTGGCAACTATGATAGCTCGACAGTTATTCAATTACACAATTATTTATATACTAGAAAGGCTTATGACAAATATAGAAAAAGAAAAAAAAACAATATATATAATAATATATATAATATAGTGATATTTAACAGTTAAAGATGTATAAAATATATGGTAAATATTTAGTTAATATTATACGAAGATAGTATTAACCACCTTAAATTAAGAAGCCAGCTTCCATAGTTATGCTTATGAAAATAATAAAATCAAAATATTTAGAAATCAATAATAGTCAATAATATTGTCACATTATAACAGTTGTAGATCTGTTTGATAATAATAATGATAAAATATTTATACTTTTGGGTTACTGCTTATCGTGAAGTTGAAACTTATAATACCAAGGTAATTGATATGTTTTAGTATTTGTTTCCAATTTGACTTAAATGTATTAACAGAGATTCCGTATTCGTACGATGTAACTATAGGTTGAAAATTTGAATATTAGATCCGGAACTAATTTATTAATCGATAACATAGTCCATAAAGCTGGGCTCGGCCCACGTTTGATATCAAAATAATTTGTGTAATAATAAGTGAAAATAATAAATTACAAAATTTCGGCAACGTGAATGTGGCAACATCGCATAAAATATTCTCTGCACAATCGTGTTGCTAAAAAGGTATGCTCAATTGTGCTTTACCGAAATTAATAATACCGTATCGCAAACGATGCCCTTGGAAGTCCGTTAATTCTTGTTAATATAAATAAAAAATAATAATTGATGGAAAACTATAAACATGAATTATTATGAAAATTTTAAGACATGACAAGTACCTATAAAATGGATGTAATTGGAGTATGCCCGGACTGTCTTCAGCAAAAGAAAAAAAACTATTTTTTAGTTTGCAGTATTTTCTAAGTTTGCCCACCCACCCTTCCTTGAAGTTTATTTTGCATTCAAAATGGATACACTGTAAACTTCTCTATTTCAATAAATAGTTTTCTCATGTTTGAAGAAACTTACAAAGAGATCACCATGTAAAGTTGACGTAAGATAACTATTTTAAAGGACTGAAGTCGATGTCTAGACAGAAAATCAAAACAATGTCTATACATATTACATTTTATTTGTAAAGAAAAATAATGTTGCAGTTGTGTATAAAGCAATAGTCATTTATTATTTACAAATGAGAATATAAAGTTAAAATTTAAGACTAAAAGCTGGCACTGCAGTTGCTCTTGCCAAATTATTTATGTGAAATCCTTCATCTTCTTTAAGCTGTTTGTAATCCCTACCTCCAGATGGTGGTTTTGGACTGGCTGCTGCTACTTTTCTTGCACCCCCTTCACTCTTGGCTGGCCATGTCGGGAACATTGCTGGGTCTACAGCTAATGGCAATTCAGAGAAGTATTTTTGTTGAAGTGCATCTTCAGCTGTGACACGAGCACTCGGGTTATAAGTAAGCATTCTAAAATAAAACAATGTAAATAAAGAGAAAAAACTAATGATAATGAACAAATAATGATAAAATCCAAGAAATAAAAATTAAACTCACTTTCTAAGTAGATCATAGCCAATATCTGTTAGAATACCTTCTTTTGTAAACCTTCCTTTAAAATTAGCTGGGGGACAATCAGGCATTGAAGCTTTTGTAACCAGTGACAAACTTGAATATCCAGGCCACACTTTTTCGTTAGGTGTACCAAAGGTAGTAAAAATTTTTTTCAGCTGGTCATACTCAGATTTACCAGTGAACAGTGGTTCCATTAAAAGAAACTCAGCAAATATGCAACCTACAGACCAAATATCAATTGGTGTCGAATATTCCTGAAAAATAAATTTAATTACTCAAATGAGCGAAATCTTTTTTGTCTTTGCCTAACCCACATTTAAAAATGTGATTTCACAAACCTTAGCACCCAACAGAAGTTCGGGCGAACGATACCACAGTGTGACAACAACTGGCGTATAAGCTTTTAATGGAGAACCATATTCTCGAGCTAAACCGAAATCACCAACTTTCAGAACACCTTTATGACTTAAAAGCAAATTAGACGTCTTCAAATCTCTATGTAATATCCAGTTATCATGTAAATGTTCAACAGCCATTAAAAGTTGTTGCATTAAACATTTTACTTCAGCTAAAAACCAAACAATGTAAATAATTTTATTTTGATCAATATCAAAAGAAGATTAATAATTTACCGGCTGTAAATGATTGTTTTTTTTGCCTCATTGTTTCCATTAATGATTTCATGTCATGTTCAACATAATCCATGACTATAAAAATCTTATCCATATTACTGCCTACAACAATTTCTCTCACAGTCACAATATTTGGGTGTTGTGATTTTAAAAGTGTACTGATTTCTCTCAGTGAAGTGATAGGAAATCCTTCTTTTTCTTTTTCCATTTTCAAACGTTTCAATGCCACAATTTCATCAGTTTGCTTCTCTTTGGCTCGGTAAACCACGCCATATGTCCCTTCTTCAATTCTAAATATTGTAACCAAATTAATAAGAAAAATGAGCTAAAAATATCACTTTAGGTTGCAAATAAATTGAGTTATCTATTTGGACCTTAGATCACATACAACCAATAGAGCTACCCTCCAAATATTTGAAATAAACCTCACTAAGAGGACTCAGCATAAATGCACAAGCGGTCAATTCATATCAAGTCACCACTGTGATAACGATAAACACAAGAAATGTTGTAGTTTGAAATGTTGAATATTTATAAGGGGTATATGTAATTAATCTACAATGACTTAACATTAATAAAAATAAGAATATAATATGATTGATAAATAAATAAAAACTAATGAAAATGTATTATGGTATTACTGGGGCAAGCCCAGACAAGCTTAAAATACAGCATAAATTACGAATTTTATTAGCATACAAATCTGCCAGCAAATCTCATTACCAATACAGTAAGCAGTTTTATGCCGTGCCTCTATACATTATATATGATGAAAAGTTTAGACCCTAAGCAGTAAGCACTGTTAACTATTCACCTATTTAAACATTGAAATTCTTCTACACTTCGACATCCTTGTAGAGCTGGTAGATATTCTTTGGGTAACAAAGGTGGAGATGAGTTTTTTTCTAATGTTATATCCATTTGAATTTCAGTATCTACTTCTGGTGATTTTGATTCTTCTTTCACTGAGTTACTGCTACTAGACTTATCGTCAGATTTTTCTGAAAATATAAAAATATCATATGAAAACTTTATACTTAGAAATAGTTAACACAGTTAAATAAAAAATTAGATAGGATATACCTATAACCTAAATCACAGTATCATAATACATAATACAACGGGCCATCAGGCTTTGGTAAGTAATTATTTGACAAGTTTTCCAGCCACTAGACCTCGACTCTCACGTGAATGTGGTGTGTGTGCTGCCACGACACTACTATTTGAATTTTGTATACACTACACTTGTTGTTTAAAATGTAAATAATTATTTTAAAATATTAGTCAATAAGCACATTATCACTCTATACTAGTTTGAAGTAAATTACAAAAATAGATATAACTAAAAAACGATTTAAAAATATTATCGGAATAGGCAATGTTGATTTGATGGATTAATTTTAAGTCTTTGTTTTTATGATAAGATAACAAATATTTTTGATAACAGTCTATCAATAGAATATAGATTATTATTCAATACAATGTTTAACAGAATGCACTTTTCGTCAAAATAATTATGAAATTTTCATAGACACATAATATATTGATTTAAATGTTGATTTATAAGCATATGGAAATTTGATAAGTCATTTTAAGAAACATTTTTGTTAAATGCTTATTGATTTGCAGAACTCATCAACAAGTGATTACAATCCATAACTAACTACATGTCTGCAAGCGCAGCTTATTGACACTGTTCAAATAACATGCCACTGAAAAACCTGCCAATGGACAATTAAAAGGCGGATACTACTTAATATTTATAATCAATACTTAATACCACATACCACTAGATTGGGAACTTTTAGAGGATGAACTTGTTGAACCAGAACTGTCTGTATCATCACCAGAATCTTGACCAGAACCTTCAGATGCTTCTCCTTCTGATTTATCTTGAATTAGTGGTGGAGTTAGGGAGTTTTCTTCAGTCTTAACTTTATTATTATCATCTTCGTGATCCTCATTTTCATTTTCAGAACCAGATGAAGATGAATCATTTGATAACACTACCAAATCAGGCACCATATCAGGCCCTTAGAAAAATCAAGAAACATCAAATAATAAATAATAATTTTTTTTACAAAAAGGAAATAAATTAATAGATTTAAGTTTTAAAAAAAATGTATAAATATAAATATAAAAATATGTCTACCTTGTCCCATTGTTATTTCTTAAATAAATGCATAAAAAAAAAAATTAATTTTCAATAGTATATTTTAATAACAAATATAATATTATATAATACTCATTATTATAATGTATTATAATTATTAATTAAGATAAATAATTAATAACTTACGAGGTCTATCCAATGTTTTGTAGTATTGTTCAATATACTGATCTCTTTCTCGGTGAGATCTACGACTATCTCTTTCTTCTTCATCTTCTCGTTTTTTTAATTTTACATTAGAATCTCTAGAATCAATATCAACCGGTTCTTTTTTTTTATGTTTGTAATCTGTTGTACGATACCGTTCCTCTTTCTCCATCTTTTTTTTTTGTAAAAGATTTCTCAAATCATTTTCCTAAAAAAAAATATATTCTTATATATATACACATATATATATGTTACGGGTAATGTGTGAATGTACACATTGCCCAGTCAATGTGGTCTTGCCCGAGCAATGTGAACCAGAAATTTCTTTTTTTAAACATCTAATATTATTTTTTAGTTTTATTAAAAATTATAATTTTACTATTACCTACTTAATCATGAATATATTAATAATAGTAAAAATAATAATTGATATATAATATTGATGGAATCACAAAAAAAATTAACTTCTATCATCATGTTATTTTTCTAATAAATTCAATGAAATTAAATTTTATAATAAACTATGAAATTTTTTAAACACACTGTTAAACTTATTTTTGTTACCTATTATACTACTTATTTAATATAATGATTAGTTAATTTGTCATTTTATCAATATTATATAAAAATTATTATTATTAATAATATATTTGTAATATGGCAAGATTTAATAAAATTAATAATCATTGTTTCTTTTTTTTTTAATTAATATTCTAAAAAATTATAATTACCTAGGTTATAATAAAAAAAAAATAAACTAGATGGTTAATAAAAAAAATTGTGGTTCACATTACCCGTAACAAATACGTTTCTTGTACACAGTGATTCTTTTAATAGAAGACACTCATTACTTCAAAAATTACTGACATTTTAAAATATTTTTTTTTTACATAAGTTGGAGTTATTACAAACATTTTTAATAATATACTCCTAAGCAGAATATTTTTAAAGAGTTTTCATATTAAAAATCAAGGAACAAACAAGTATTTAATATTTAAAGCGTAGCAGAGACATGGAGTTGCTATAGGAACCCTTCAAAATTATGATTCTTTAATTCGCTCATCTTAAGTAGTAAAAAATTATGTTTCGTAGTGACTACTAGTAATGTAAAGAAAATCTCACAAAAATGTTTGGTTTTTGAAATAATGAGGAACATTAAAAAAATTACCCCGTATTGTATTGTTTAACAATTTGTTCATGCAACCAGATGTGCTAATATTATACCTTAAGCATTTCATCTCTGTGCGGCTTTTCATGTTTAGAATGTTTATCGTGACTATAACCGCTCCTTTTTTTATATCGATCCCAATCACCATTTTCACCTCTAGATTCTACTTTGTAATAATCATCTTCCTTTTTTGACCTCTTGTTTCTCAGGGCAAATTCTTCCTCTCTGCAAAATTAAACTATTAAGTTGTGATAACTATAAGCTAAGCATGATGAGTGGTTTGAAAATAGGCAGACTTTAATCCAAACTCAAGACATAAAATTACACAACTAGATATTTTAAGTGTCATACAAATTAACTACACAAATACACATTATTTAACTTATCGTTAAACCTACTAGTATGGCCAATATTAGTAGTCGTGCTAAGTCTATTTTAATAATATTATTAAATAAAAATATTACCGAGTATGTCTGTGCTTTCGTTTTTCAAGATGTCTGGAATGATGTTTTTTTGTTGGATCCTAAATATTTAAATAAATTTCATACTAATTAGAAAAAAATTATTGCTTTCATCAACTATACATTATAAAATAAAATATAATTACTTTTGAGTGTTTGTGGTGACTTGTTACTTTATGCCTCGACTTGTGCACTCTAGCTTGTGGTGGTTTTATTGTTAATGTATGATCTAGGGCAACGTCATCTTCATCAGTTGCTCCGTTACTAAAATGTTTTAAAAGGTATAATTAATATTACAAGACTAACTAGTTACTACACTAGTAGTTAACAATAGTAAAGGAAAATGATTAATTTTTACATTTTTTTAGCATGCAGTTTATCCACTCGAATTTTATCTTCTCGAATAACCCTACACCGGTAAAATATTTAGAAAACACATTAGCAAAACAATACAATAATGTCATATTATTGAGTATTAGTAATATAAATATAATACCAACTGTTTAAGAGTATGCCATACCCACAAGTCAAACATACAAACCAAAATACTTTACACATAATAGAGAAACATATGTCCTTAAAATGTCTTATGCTGCACATTTATAAGATGGAGACAACACAATATGTTGCTGTTTGGGTATGACGTCTTCTTAATATTTATTTTTTAGAAATACAAATTTAAAAACATTCCTCAAATGTTTTGTTTTTCTTTTAAATTGTCTACAAACAATTAAGCTTTTAGATTTTATGATTCACATTCTTAAAAAAGGTTAATAAATAAAATGTTTAATATTACTATATTATTTTTAAGTTTTGTTATAACGTATAATAGTTCAATAAATGAAATTACAAAGCACTAGTTGTAATGAAATGAAAGTTATGAGCTTATGAAGTTCTACAACATTAACAAGTCAATTTGATGATGATATATATATTAATTCGTCAAATGACGTTGTAAAATGTAAGATTAATTGTTAATTACTTAGAGAATGCAGTGTAAATTGAAAGCATATTGACAATACAAATAGTAAGTTGTTGTTATTGTTAAATATTAAAACCGTTACCTGCTTGATTGTGAATTCGAGTCCATGGTAAGGTGAAATATTATGATTTATTGGTAAACGTAACAATTTTTTTATTTTTATATTTCGTTTTAATTACATTTTCGATCAAAAGGCATTATAGGTACCTCGAACTCACTAGTAACTAGTTGTTACTTGTTACGACTTGTAAAGTTGGACATCGGGGACGGGTACACAACACAGAATTCCCGATTTTGATAACAACTATACTATATTACTATGGCCTATGACTATCTCAAGTAGTGATGGGAACAATCGAGAGAAAATAATCGAAATACTCGATTGTTTGAGTCACTCGATTATTTCGATTGTTTTGAAAATTCTCGAGTGATTCTCTCGGTATCGAAATCAGCTGAAATAATCGAGTGATTAAAATTACTCGACGAGTGATTCTCTCGAAATATTAAACTGCAAACTGCATACGGTACTTCCGTGTTATCTCGACTACCTTTGGTTCACAACCGTGTTATCTCGACTACCAAAATATTTCCAAGACTACCTGTCCTATTATATGATCAACCGTGTTATCTCGACTACCGCAATTTTTTAAATAATAAAAATATATAAAATATATAGGTTAAATTTATTCTGAATAATAATATAAATCTATTTTGAAACACGTTAAAATGGCATAAAAATGTGTATAGAAAAAATCGTAATAATATAATATAAAAAATTAATAAAAAATATATAAAATATATAGGTTAAATCTATTCTGAATAATAATATAAATAAAAATGTGTATAGAAAAAATTGTAATAATATAATATAAAAAATAAATAAAAAATGTAGTTAATAATTAGAGAAAATTAACAGCCTCCTTCTCGGACGATGGCAAATTAAAAAAATTCTGCATCAATTACTTTTCCAACATCATCTCTAACTTGGATATTATAATTTTTTTAAATTCAAATTTAAACATATTTTAATTTTTTTTTTTAGATTTCATCATTATATAAAATATTAAGTTGTATTGTATCATAATAATTAATAAATTAATCATGACAAGGCTAATGGGTTATTGCTAATAATAAACTTTAAATATGCCCAGGTCATATTGACTAAACTAATATAATAATAAAAAAAAAAAAAAGTAGTATACAATGTTTGGTAAGTTTGTTTTGCATTATTAAGTGAGCGAGCGAAATCCCACACTACCTAGTAGGCTAGTACCTACCAACTATTTAGTATTTGTAGTAACCGAGTGATTTTTTCGAGTACAGAGTGAGTGAGTGGATTGAGTGTAATAATACTAAATTAATAAAATACTTAATTGACCGAGAGGTTTTTTCGAGTGAATCTCTCGATTGTTGTAACCTCTCGATTACTAACTTCTCGATTGTCGAAATCACTCGATTGTTCCCATCACTAATCTCAAGGTGGTCATAATATACATGGCACTAGTGCCACTTCACTATCGAAATAACAACTATCGTCTTCAACAGCAAAACTTGGAACCAATGAAATACAAGTAATTTAAATTTGGCGGACAAATGTCTAGTATTTCATTGGTTTCACTTTATGCTGGTCGATAGTGATGGCTATAGTTGTGTTATCGATAGTGTAGTGGCACTTTCCAGCGCTTCTGTGCCACATGCTTCGTAACTATCGGTTTTCAAGAAATTTAGAAATCGATAATATTATAGCTATCGATATAATATATTTATCGTTATAATATTATATATATAAAAATATGAAGTAATTGACCGGGAAACAGAATTTTATATTTTTAGAAATCCAGGGAAAAAAGCCTGAGAAAAAAAATTCCCGAAAAAAATTCACTTACGCACAAACACTAAGCATTCAATGATTATGATGATATGCTTTGATTATTGGTATTATTTTTTATTTATTTTAATATAATGTATTGCCAACTTTAACTTCATATTCATTTATTTAAATCAGAATAATAATAACTATTAACACATACATATTCATATAGGTAACATATTGAATAATATCTCATCAAACTTAAAAATTAGTTCTTATTGTTTAATTATTACTTGATACCTACATAACATAAACGAAATAACATGAACGAAAATACCGTACTGAGGAGGATATAATACTGTATGCTAGGGAATAGGTAGGGACGAGCAGAGAGTTATTTAGCTGTGGCCTGTGGTATATACAATATACTATGAAAACCACATAATAACACAATATATTGTGATATATCATATATATAACATAATATAGGTAGGTAATTACTAATTTTACAGATAAAGTCATCAATAAAATAAAATACCTGTATCATTTTCAAAATAATTTAAAATGTCAATTACTTTAGTTGTATTGGGAATAATCCACGCTGCAGTGTGATCAAAAGGTGTACATAAATATATTAAATTAGAATTGACTTACAAATAACTGTAGAACAAAAATTATTGATTTTCTATGGATAAACAAGGGCACGGATTAATATACTAATATATTAATCCGTGAACAAGGGTGATACTGGGGTTTGGACTTAGGGGACACACTATATAGGTACCTACTATACCTAGGTACCTATGGCTTATAATATTATATGTACTTATGTACACAAAGATTCTAATCAAATTTGTCTAATTAAAGATAAGTTATTCATGGCTTTTTTTTCTGAATTCCATTTTTTATATTTACCAATAATTTTTCAGGTTAACTTCTTTCTGTTAAATGCAAAATCTTGTACTCGATGTTCAAACCTTAGATATAAATGGAAAACTCTTTATGAATTTATAAATTATAATCCATTATAATTTTCGAATTATTCGCTCAAATTCTTTTCAAATGTCTACTAACAACTTATGATGAACCTATACCCATTGAACCAATGAACCCTAAGATATTTTAAAAACCATAACCTTAAAAAGTACATCAACAAAAGCATATAACTATTTGACGGATACATTACTGCAGTATGTGTCATCTCTATATACACTACCAGATTTATAATTTAAACTTTAAAGTGGTATTTTATGGATATATGACATTAAATTCCAATGTGTCTTTATTTATGTTAGCTTAACTACACGAATATATCAAAATAGCAATTGAATATACAGTATAAATATAATCATTTTGAATTTACATTGATGGTAATTTGTAATACTGTCAACATTGAGAAAATGAGCATCAAATGTTCCTATTGAATCGAGGGTTTTATATTTAAACGGTGTATCGGTAAGATGGAAATAATGGAAAAAACAGTTTAGCTATTCGGAATTAAATTACCAAAATACCTACTGAGAAAACAAACATTTTTTCTGAAGTGTTTCAATGGATGAAAATTACAAAACCCTCTTTATCATTTATATTTTATAGGAACATTGGGCTTGTAGTTTATAACGTAACCTTGAATTGTCAGTTTGCAAGTTACAGCGGCAGACTGACTACTTATGGTTCGAGCCGTTCGAGGTGCAAACAATTGGGGCCCATGTAATTCTTTTATAAGCTCACTAACCTCAGGTTAGAGAATAGTTCTACATTACAATAAGATTTAAATTTAAGAAAAAGCGCAGGGGCTGACCTAACCCTACAGTAGTAATTTGGGGTCCGGATCATAAATACAAATAGATGCTTGGGAGTTGGGGTGTTACTTGGTTTATGGAATTATTTAGCAGTATAGTACCCTGGGCCAATCCACCCCTGGCAAGTTATAACTTACGAAATAGCTATTGGAATATTGAACATCGCGAATTACGATTGTTATCGTCACGACTGCACGAAACATTATTATTTATAATTACTACTGTCGAAGAACATCTAAATATAAAGTTTTTATACCTCGATGTCTCTGCGGTTTTACTGTACGAATCACGATCGTGTGAATGCATGATATGGTCATTGAACTATAAAATAATGTATTATATATAAATATAACGTTACAATATATTTCAATGGATTTGACATAATACGAATTTTATATTTATTTATCTCCCGCGCAGACAATTAGCAGTGTTCCAATCAAAGATGTAACAAAAATACCTAATTAAAAGTATTATACAATCACGGTAATTGTGACAGTGGTCTCAGTCCAACAGCAGCAGTGTGACCAGTCAGTGTGGCACGAAAAGTTTACCAAAATACAATCACAAATAACAATCGCGATTTCCGATTGTTTGCTGCTTGCTTCTTGGCCCTTGAGATTACTTACAAGCTCTCTTTTACAATTTTTCTTACTCATGAATCACGAGTCGCCAGTAACGATTATAGAAAAATTATGAGGAAACAGAAGTTTATCGAAATTCAAAATCAATTAGTATTTCATCTATTGATTATTCAATACTCCTGTCTCCAGTATTCTGTGCCTCTGTGGTATCAACTATCTACAAAAAAATACAGAATTTACAATTTTGAGGCAACATCACGATTTAAGATATCTTAAATTGTGATCAACATTATTGACCTGGTTGAGGGTGAATCCTTATGTCTGTGATTAATATAACTATTACGATGTACCGCCATGGGCGCCCATAGGTAACATTTTAGAGGGGGGTCAAAATAAAAAATTTCGGTAATAAGGTAATATTGTGGTAATATTTTTTGAGCTGCAAGTTCATAATAATTTTTTCCAGGGGGGGGGGGAGCAAGTGGCCCTGTCTTCCCCCCCCCCCCCTCCAATGGGCGCCCATGTGTACCGCCACGTACGAGTGTAATGGGACCGTAGAACTAAAATATTTTGAACTTTGTAGGTCTATGAATGGGACAAATCATAATATTGTAATGAAAAAAAATAACCACGAAAATAGTAGAAAATTAACATCGAGCTCCGACAATATCGATATCCAAAAATTACAGCCCGATAGGAAATTACCCGTGTAACGTATAAAATATATACAATAAAAATGGTTCCCGATTATGATTTGTGATGGTCTATGACTTCTACATCCCCCCCTACAAAGACATAATTAAAATATAAATATATATTTTCGCGTTATGCCCCCCCCCCCCTGGCCTGGCGAAAGAAGTGAAACCGTGAGTGAATACGACTGATACCGTACGGTGTGTACTGTGTAGTCACAATTCTGTTATCAATTTCGGAATTTTCCAGAACACTTTTTTTTTTGTATTCACGATTTTTCTGTTTAAAACTTACTGTACATTTTTTCATCACAACTTTTACCTTTTTTCCTCTTTAACAATATTATTTATATTCATATATATATATATCCTCTGGTCAACGATCGAGAGGGTTAAATCTTTCGCCACGATTCTGCTGTGCTGCATACGGTGTTAAGAACCGTCTAGTCGTCGTGGTCGTATATTGCTGATTTTTGTTATCTCGTTATTACTGAGTAAGTAAATCATTTATTAATGATTGATGATTATCGTTTTTAAAGAAATTTTTCTAGTCTTCAAAAGCACATTTGTGTTGTAATTAATTAATTGGTAATTGACTGACATTTCTCTATCAATTGCCTAATGCAAATATTTGTCTTACTGTGTACTGAATCCCGGTCAAAAAGTCTATTTTGAAAAAAAGTTGGACAAAAAGTCTGAATTTGTTTTTTATTGTTGTACGAAGTGTCCTGGTACATTTTTATTGTCAGACTAAATGTCGAAAATACAACATTTATTAAATTTTCATCTATAATTATATTATCATTACTGTATAGTTGTTAATGTTAGTATTGATATTTTATTTTAAATTATTATTATTTTTACTGTAGTGATCGATGTTTCTATTTTTTTAAATTTGTATATGGAACTAGTATATTTTATAAAACTACCTCTTTTAAAGTTAAATAACATAGCAATTTAATATAAGTCTTATAGTTTTAAATAAATTTATGTATTAGAATTAATTGCTGTTAGTACATAGTCAATGACAAAATATTATTAATATAGTTAAATAAAAAAATATAATATTAATGTAATAAGTTAATTATTAGAATATTAAAATTGATTAAATTTTTTTAATTTATATTTATTTTATATGGTTATAATATATACCTATATAATAAATTATTTGATTATGAATAAAAATATAGTAGAATATTTTATATTTTCGGACTTTTTGTCTTACAGTAAAAAATGAATCTGGATTTTTTATCACACTTTTTTAAAAATGGACTTTTTGACTGATTACCCTATATACTAACTAGGTAGTCTTACACACTGTTTCTTATATTTTGGTTGATTTTTTTTCAATTTGATTTTCAGAATTTCTTTGGTGTTCGTTTTGATATTTTATGGACACTAGTATAATTTATACTGATTGGGGGCAGCTCTGTTAACATATTTGCAATTAGTAGGTATGCTTGGGTACTTAGTTATATTTAGTTTTTTTAAATTTCGCTCATATGAATATGTATGTTCATCTTGAATCTATGAAATTCCAATTTACCTATTTCAAAACCTTTTAACCAGGATATTAGTATAACTGAAAAATACTAATCATTTTGTAATAAAAAAATAACACATCTTAGAAAGTTTGATTTTAATAGGTACTTAAATTTAATCAAAATATGATTTTATATGTTTGAATGAAAATATTAAGTTTGTCAAATTACTAATCATAAAAAATAAATTAGTTTCAAAATGTTGTACCATTTCATTGTGTTAATTACTTAGGTATACCTACGGCTAACCTAACCTGATATAAGTAAAATAAGTACATTACCTGTAAAACATACACTTTCAATGATCTAATTGTATCTGTTTCTTTAAATTATTATTTTCATCCAAATTTTGTTATTTCCTGTGCCAAACCTGCCAACTACTTATGTATTCATCTTTTTGCAATTGTGTCTTAGGTTAAATGTTTTTTTCGACTTTCAAAAACAAAATATTGTAAACAATTTTTGCAGGATTCCACATATCAAATGAATGCTAATTATTTGATATGCCATCGGAATTTGTTACGGTCCAAAAAGTAGAACTGTCTACATTAAAGTATTCTCAAGTCAATCAACGGCTCTTGTCTACTACTAAGTCGATGGAAGACATTCTATATCATCTACGACACAATATCGTCAATCTTAAAAGTTCCTTGACATTATTACTTTGCCAAACCTTAACAAATAGAACAACAAGTCAGGTTGCTAATATATTTTTCAAAACAGATGGAAACGGAAAATGGTATCGAAAATATACCATTGCCAAGCGATTCACCATTAATCAGACACCCAAGAGGCTTAGAGAACACTGCACGAGTTGAAAATCACGATTCATTCTTATCCCACTGTCTTCCAAAGAATATTATTTTAACTGATTTAATTCATACATTTAGACAACGAGCAAAAAGTCCTATTTCAAAAAGACCTGTTGTTTTAAACACTTCAAAATCGTTCATTGATGTCAATGTGACTAGAACTGGTCTACGTAATGTGGACCTATATGAAATAATTTCACAAATCGGTGAAGGTTCATATGGCCAAGTTTACAAAGCCAAAGAAAAAAAAACCAATAATTTTGTGGCATTAAAAAAAGTGAGATTAGAACATGAATCTGAAGGCTTTCCAATAACGGCAATAAGAGAAATCAAAATTTTAAGACAGCTGAATCATCCTAATGTAGTTAGTTTAAAAGAAGTTGTTACTGATAAGGAAGATTCATACGAATTCAAAAAAGGTGGTGGCTCTTTTTATCTTGTGTTTGAGTACATGGATCATGATCTTACTGGCCTAATAGAATCAGGCATGGTAGATTTTTCAGTGAGAGATAATGCCATCATTATGCGTCAATTACTCGAGGGTTTAAACTATTGTCATAAACAAAATTTTATTCACAGAGATATTAAGTGCAGTAATATACTGCTCAATAATAAAGGTGAACTGAAACTAGCTGATTTAGGTCTTGCACGGTTATTTGACAATGAGCAAGTTCGCTTGTACACAAACAAAGTAGTTACCTTACGATACAGACCACCCGAACTTTTGTTAGGAGAAGAGAGATATGGCCCATCAGTTGATATCTGGTCTTGTGGATGTATCTTAGGTAAGTTACACATTTATTGTTTAAATAATAGTTATTAAAACTGATTTACCATTACAGGAGAACTTTTCATCAAAAAAAATATGTTTCATGGCAAAGATGAGTTTGATCAACTAGAATTAATATCTCAGCTATGTGGTAGTCCTTGTCCAGCTAACTGGCCAGAAGTCATAAAACTGCCATACTGGAAGTGTATAAGCAAAAACAAACTGCACAATCGAAAACTTAATGATCAATACGACTTCATCGGAAATGATGCTTTCGACCTGTTAGACAAAATGTTAACTCTGGATCCCAGTAAACGCATCACTGCTGAGAATGCATTAACATGTTCTTGGTTGGCGAGCATAGACACCAATACCTGTATTTCATTGCCCACTTGGCAAGATTGTCATGAACTGTGGAGTAGAAAGCGAAAAGGTCGATCAACTACTTCCAGGAATAACTCTTCTCTCCGTTCCATGAAGAAAGATCGCAATCAATCAGAGAACAAAACTCGAACTTAAACTGTTAACACATATTGTAATTTGACGAATTTTAATTATTTTCATTCAAGGGTAAAATTCCTAAAATAAAATATTTAAAACTATTATATTAGGAATTATGTTGAAAATTATTTAATGTATCTTGAAACCCTGTCAGCCATTTAATAGGGTGTTTTAGTTTTATTATACAAAATATTATACTATTGAGTCAATTTTTATTACTATAATATTATTCATTTTGAGTTGTTTTATTTTCAGATAGGAATTGTATCAAAACCAAATATATATATATATATTATAATATTGTATGCATATACATGGTATTTGGTATCAAGTATAACATCTCTGTACAATGATTTCTTACCTATTAAGCATTACTACGATTCTTTTGAGTGTTATCATGAAGGCTCCACAAATTATTCGGATTTACAATCAAAAGCAAACAGGCGGTATCAATTTAACTTCTTTACTTCTGGATTTAATCAAGTAAAATTATACAAGCACTTATATGTATTATTTGGACTGTACGATCTATTAATATAAGTGTGTAAATGTATAAGCTTTATTAATTTAAATTGATGCCTAATAAGTAGAAACAAGTAAGAATGTTTTAACACTATTCATTCTAAAATCTGTATACTGGGTAATAATTTCAGTTATTTTTATAAAGTAGTTAGTTTTTTGTAAAAAAATGTATTAATAATAATTATAAAAATAATAATTGGCTGGTGAATATTTAGTCTGCCTGCACTAACAGTTCTACTATTTTAGTTACCTACATACATCTAGTACCCAGAAGTCTATACATTTGCATGTTTATATTAAATGGTCCAAAAAATAACTGATTAGATTGAATCAAAGTTACAAAAACCTAAAAAACTAAATTATAGTTGTTTTTTTTTTTGAGTATATTCCATCACTCATTAGTTTCAAATTGGTAAATCATAGCTTAAGTTTCTGTTAAGAGTCTTATTTTTTGGTAAAATTTGATACACTTGGAAAAAGTTGTCAGATTATTATACTTGTTAGTTATTTTAAGATTATTATTGCATGTTTATACAGTTATGTTGATCATTTGACTTTTTTTACGGTATGAAATTCTAGTCTCAGATAAATAATTTTATATTATTTGTAATTGTATTGTGTGTTACCCATTTTTCAGCTTAAGTACAACAACTTGTTACAATTACACAAACAATTATTCACTAATGGCATACATGGAGTATCCAATAATACTTTTTCAGCAGTATCTTCTCATTGGTATTGTTCTGCATTACAATAATCGCTTAAATCTCAAGGTTTTGATTTTAAGTGTATTGTATGTTGGATTGTTCTCCGCATTTGTTTGCAAACTTTTGCCTTCCTCTATACTTACTATTTTAGTAGTATGTTAATTTCTCAGCATTTAAATTGTTGTATAGTATTATGTTCAAAATTATTGAATGTAAAAAATTTATATTATTTTAGCCATTCGGTACACCGATATCATTATCAAGTAAATGTTTACAGTTGTATACTATAATGAAATTTAAAAACGCTGATAGTATAAGCCTGACTTCTTGGTTTATTTCTGCATATACAAATGGAGGTAAGTTTTCATTTTCAACTCATACAATATTATTTTTGATCAATTCCAAACATATCAAAACAAATTAAATAGCATTTTAGGTAAACCATAGAATAATATTGTTCTATGGTAAAACCAGTGTTATTAATGGCAACAAAAATTAGGGACCTATTAACTGTAAGTTAAATTCCTAATTTAATGATTTTAGACCAAGTTCTTTCAACCCTTAGCTACAGCATTTTGCTTTAATTAAGCAATATAGGTACCTAAGTACAGAACTTCAAATTATACTACAGTAAATATTTTGATATAATCATATTTTACTATTTTTTTTTGCAATCAAGTACCCAAGTGCATAATACTGTTCTTAAATACTTCTTAGCGTAGTAGTTTGAGATTTTATTTATTTAACAAAAATTTGTATATTCTATTTCCAGCTAGGATTTATACAGTATCAATGGATTCAGCAGATAAAATAATGCTCACTAATTTTTGCCTAAATACTTCTTTAAGCACCAGCATATTATTAGCAAGTGTATATTATAAACAAACTTCAGCAAAACATATTTCATAAAAAATGTTTGCCTACCTACATAATATTTACTACATTTAACAATTTATTTGGTATCTATATAATAGTTTTTAATTTTCTGTTATTTAGTAATAATTATTAATATAATATTTCTAATTTACTGAGATGCCATATTACCTAATACCTATTAAATATTTTATTGTATTAATTGAATAGTGAATTGTTAAGTTAAATTTAAGAATCATTATGAAAATTGACAAGTGTAGGCACTTAATTACTTCATAAAATATTGGAAGTATAAATTAATTACTCATTTTATCTACTGTCCAAATTAATGCTAGTAAAAATTACTTAAAGGAGATTTGATCATGATTTTGTACATTATAGACCCATTATTATTGTTACATAATAAAGGCTTATATTTTATTCTTAAAATCTATTATCTAAGTAAATATTTATAAAATATTAATTTTTAATAATATTCATTTTCTTAAGCTCAATTAAAATCATTAATTGATGCTTAATAATTAATACCTAGAATTATAACTGCTTAATTTATATTTTTCTTGAACACAAATTTATTTCACCTCCCATGAATGTGATAATCATTAATCAAGCATTTTACATTTAAAATTTAAATTGTATACTATATGTCTATTGTGTGTATACTTTATAACTGGATATCTGAATAAAATAATATTTTTAAAATATATTTTTTCATCTTTTGACGCCCAAAAAATAATACATGAACTGATATCATGGAACAATCAAAACGTCATCGTTCTTCCATAATATTTGTGTGAAGGTCACCGCCGCTCATAATTTCGCTGATAAGCCATTCACGATTTTGATAAAAATGAAAACACACAACTATAATAAATAATAATGTATTCCATCCGTTTCTATGAGACAATTTCCCCCGTCTTTCTGATCCAAACGATCCAGTGACAACTAACGAAGAAAAAGAAGATTTCAGTCTAATTCCGCGGTCGATATCTCCGAGCAAAAACGGTCAATCGAATTCGTCGCGTTGTTTTCTACCATCTTACGAGTTTCGTTTAACAAACTGTAAGTATATTTTTTATTGATGAAAGAAATAATAGTAAAAAGAAATGTTGGCATTGGCGGCCCGCTCAGCTGGACATAATGGTGGGCATTTTTTTTTCTCATCGTAGAGCATGTTATGACTTACATACAACTGACTAACTTCTAGCTGCATACTGTACTTGTGATGATTGCAGTTTTGCACCATATCTGTGGCCAAAGCAATCGTGTTAAATCTGAATCATACAAAATACATTTTTGTAGAATTTCCCACAAACAACTTATTTGTCTCCAACACTGAGTCGTTTTAAATTTCAGTTTAACAGTTCGTACATTTTGTTTAATATTATAGATTCCGATTCACAGAATTATTTTAAAAAGCTAGGTAATATCTAACTCAATCCATCTGTATGTTTTGCATATTTTTGACAACGTATGGAAATATTGAACAATGTCAATTTTACTATTTGACATTAATTGGGTAATAACATACTTTTTAAAAGAGGAAAATTATAATATAAAATTCCCAAAATTCAATATGGTATTATGTTACCTTATGAGATGAAACAAAAATATTACAATAAATAATATATATTTGTTTAAGAAAGTTGATACTTTCAAGTATCTACAGAATTTGCTGTTCCATATATAGTCATTAGTAAAGAGTAGTAATGACAATGAATAAAACTAGTATCAGAAATAATCTTAGACATTTGCCTCTATTCTTTAGATATTAGTTGATATTATCTATTATTATTCAAAAAAAAGTGAAAGTAAGTGCAAGATGCTATGAAAGTGAATTTTGGCCAACTGATCGAAGTTCAATTCTTAGTTCTATCTAAACATCATAATAAATAATAATTTTTTTTATGAACTTATGTACAATAATTTGTTATATGTTAGAGTCTTAAAATAAAAATATTGTGGTTTCATTTATAAAAAACTGTCATTGCATTTTAGTCAGCATGTGCACAGCACAGAACTATAGTTTTTTTTTTTTAATTGTATTAGCTTCAACCAAAAGTTATTATAGCTTTAAAATTAATTGAATATCTTGAAACTATATAGGAAGGAAATGTTCTCTTAAATTTTTTTAAGATATAATATAGTTATTTACTAAAATATTTTTTAAAATTCAATTTAAAACAAACATTGAATAATGGTGTTTGTCCCTTCCCCAACATTTCTGACTGCCCTTGAATTCCATAGTGATATCCATATTTAGTAAAATCATAAATAAATTTAAAAGTTTTCACAATTTTTCTCATTTGTTTTACATAAACAACATTGTAAATCTAAAAATAAAATTTCACACTAGAGTGAAATTACCATTAGAATATTGTAAGGAAGGAGAGACAGATGTATAGTTTGCAAGAGTGGAAGTAAGATCAGTCTAATTTTGACACTCCTTCTGACCCTATAATACGTCACTGGCTGCCTCTAGAATTTGGCACCTCGACAAACACCTAGAAATAAATCAAGCTATACTCCTAACAATTTTTATATATGTCTACTATAGGAGATGATCTTAAATAAAAACTTTAAACAACTGAAAAATTAACTTCACATTTATCAAATTTCTGTCACAAATTAATAATTATGATAGGTATATAGAATATACATATTATATTCATGAAAAATATACCAATTTTTTTTTTTATTTAAAATTTAATTTATGTCTAAAATGTAAATGTTTTCACAATATAATTTTAGTAACATATGTGTTACTGTGAAGAAAAGAAACAAAATTTGTACCATTTAGGTATTTATTATATTTTCAGTTTCAAAATATAAACTTACCAGTGAAATAGTGAGTCATTCATTAGTCTCAACATTAAACAGTTTCACCAATCAGAAATGAGATAAAAATAGTGGTAGTGGTGGGAAGCATTTTTTAGCATAGCGGCAGTTGGCTATTATAATTGAAGCACAATATTATATAGCTCACATATTATTTCGAAATACTATGTAATTTGATATCAAATTTATATTTTGATCTTTTACAGAAACATGTAAGAAAACATTTTGGTGGCTATAAAGATTTTCATCTTTATTCATTTTTGGCATAGCTGTTGTATGCTATAGCGTAAGTATCTTAATTTTTAAGTGTTATGTACAAATCATGTTTGTATTATATTTTCTAATATTGTTATAGTTAATTTTTGTGATTTTAATAGTTATATGATATTTTCATAACTAAAATTGTTTGAATTTAGGAAATGGTGAGTCTTATTGACCGCTCGGAAGTCTGTAATCAGGCAAGATGCCTGGTGCGCAAATTTCATGACCCTCTTGATAAATCTACCGACAATGATAAATTGGAATGCTGTGCTGATAAGAATCAAACTGTTCGTCAGTTTTTTAATGTAGTTGCACAGCATTACAATTTGGATATTGATTCTTTTTATTTGACATTTAGTTCATTCAAAACAGATTCTACATTGGAAACAATTGATAAGGTATTCATCGTTTTATCATAAAAATTTTGTTTTTCTTCAATAATAATAACATAGTTAATATTTTAGCCAAAACTGGAAGCAGATGATGATCGTCTATTGGTAGATGTTGGTGTTGTGTTTGGTGAGGATTCTCAAAATCGTTTTGTACTATCAGAGATTGAAATTGAAGAAAGCGATCAAGCTGAATGTATTGTACGCATACCTAAGGGTGCGAAAGTGTTCCCTTTGACTGTAGATCAAAATGAAACTGCAGGCCAACTGTATAAACGTGTATTAGAATTCTGTCAAGCAGAAGATTTGAATACAGAATTTTTCGTTTTAACTTTTAATTCCTATGACAGCCAAGCTGAATTGATCAAAGTATGCTTTGTTTTTTAATAATTAATATTTGATAAATTAGTTAATACAAATTAATTTTGTTCAGCTTATGATAAGAGAAGATGATACAAGGTTGCTGAGTGATATTGGGATTGTGTACCGTCAAGGAGTGAAAAATCGTTTTGAAATATCACTAAACAATGTATCAGGTAGTATGGACAATGATAATTCATCAAAATCATGTTCCCCTACTCAAGATCAAAAAGTAGAAAGTCAATACTCAAAAATTCATCCTTCAGTTCGCCGAAATGGTCTAGATTCATCATCCGTTATAGAAAATAATATATTAGAACCAACATCACCAATGCCAATGCTAGCATTACCCTCTACCCGTATGCTATATAACCGTTCAACTGAAAGAGCATATACAGGTTTGAATATGATTATTGATTATTATTTATTGTTTTATTATATATCAATGACATGAAGTAAAATTGTATATTTTAAACCATGGGTGAAAGGTGATTTTCAAAATACCAAATTATATGAGAAAATTTATTGAGATTACTAAGGTTAGAAAAAGTATAAAAGTATCATCAACTATCACTTAGTCATGTTATTGTTTGTGGAAGTCAAACACACACAAACCAAGATATCATTATTGTTATATAGTTTGCAATGGCCACGCATTTACTGCTTGATTATTTTGAACAAGTCGAAAAAAAGTTTTGAGTATGAATAGATTGAACTGAAATAATTAATAAAGAGGACACCATACCCGCATGTGTTGTCTCTGTCTTACAAACTTAAAAACATAATATCAAAATTAAGTTTAGCAGAACCAGTTTTGTGCTGTTAGCTTCAATATTAACTTATTACCTTATGAATTGACCTGTTATCAGACTTAAAGGTCAGAACATTATCTGTTTTATTTTGTTAATTTTTAAGCAATTTATGGTATTTTATATACTCATCTTGCTTAAAAATTTAAATATCGTAAAATATCAACAAGAGAACTTACATAATGTTCTTACCTTCCAGTTTGATCATGGGTAAATTCCCTAATATTAATGCTGTATCCTAGCTAATTTGCACCCATGCGGGTTAGAACAAAACAGATTGTATTTCAATTATATCAATTGATAGTATTATAAAACTATTTTAATAATACATATCTTGGAGAATGTCTAGTCATGAATTTTAAAGTTAGATAAACAAATTATTTTAAAAACATGTTATTATTACAGGATACAGAGGCTTAGTAAATCAAGCAA